GCCGTTTTTCGAGCACCTCACAGGGCCCCCGGGGAAGGCCCAAGGGCTGGACATCGAGTCTCTTTGAGAGGGCGCTTCGGCAGGGTTCCTATAGTAGAAGCCAGAAAGTTGGAACATGACTTTAGGAGGATTAGTGCTAGGATCCCTTATACTTTACCTTAAGGGCATGAGGCCAATGATGTTCCAACTTTCTGGCTTCTACTGTATACGGGTTCATTGAAGAATTCCTTTGAAGGTTCCTTTAGGGTCTCCTTCCGGGGTGTTTAAGCCACAAGACACTGCGAACATCAAGCCTTAACTACGATGCCAAAGGCCACTCACAACACAGAAAACCTGATACAAGACTTGGCACACGCCGCGTTTCGGGGTTGGGGGTCAGGGGTTCAGGATTGCAGGGGTTGAAGGTAGATTCCTGAATTAAGCGTTCGTGGGTTTCCGTGGTAACTCGGTACTTGGAGCCTATTGAATGCCAAAGCCTTCAACGCAAGCTGCAGGAAGCTGCACTGCACCCTGGCACCTTCCACAGCCGCACTGTGCAGTCCTAGCAAGCAGTTTCTAGGGTTTAATTCCCCAATGGTCCCTATTTGCATGCATACGTGTAAGTGTAAATGTACATAACTATAAAGCATCGCGTGCGCGTAAAAGCATGTCATGTGTATGCGTGTATGTGTGTATATGTGTCAATACATAATATATATATATATATATATATACACACACATACACACACACACATACACATGCATGTACGTCCGTACGCATGTATGTAGGTATGTATGTGTCTAGGTATGTAAGTAGCTATGTATGAAAGTAAGTATATATGTATGAATGCATGTATGTACACATGTACATATGCATGCAGGCATGTATGCAGATAGGCAGGTAGGTAGGCGTGTACGTATGTAGGCATGTCTGTCTGCCTGTATGTATATCTGCATATATGTAATTATATCTTGTGCATGTAAGTATGTATGCATGGAGGGCTGTATGTATGTATGTACGTATGTATGTGTATATTAGCTTGTTTGCATATCTACTTGTGTATTGTCATTCATTCCATTCCATGCCTTTCTATTCATCCATTTCATTCATTTCATTCATTTCTTTCATTTCATTCATTTGATTCATTTCAGTTCGTGTCATGTCATCTCATGTCATTTCATTTCATTCCATCCACTCATTCATTCATTCATTCATTCCATTCATTCCATCCGTTCATTCATTCATTCATTCATTCATTCCATTCATTCCATCCGTTCATTCATTCACTCACTCACTGACTCATTCATTCAGCTCGTTCCATTCATCCATTCATTCACTCAATCATTCATGTATTCATTCATCACTTAGTTTCGCTCCTGGCTGTCACACTTCTGGTGAAGCGTTGTGATGCCTAACTGCATCCTCGCGAGCCACTCTACAGAATCCGGCCGCTTCCAGTTGGACCAGGTGGGCTTGGACTGGTATGTATACAGTGGTGGCCTCGGGTTCCAGGACTGCGATTTCGAGAGTTTCGGAACTCTTCCGGGAATCAGAACCTAGGATGTGAGGCTCCGGCAAAATGGTTCTCTAAACCCTACAGAACCCTGAATCCTGGACCTTGGGCCTGAGGTATGTGAAAGAACCCTTTCAAGGATTATTCAAGTGCTCCGCAACCAAAACCCTTATCATACGCGTTTAAAGTACCCTTGCAGTAACCTTTCAAAAGAACTCGTTTACAGGAAAAACATTACTGAGGTGCCCGAAACCAAAACCCGGTTGCGGCGTCAGTCCTCGGACCCAGTTGCAAGCGTCCGCCTGGCAGAGGACGACCCTATACACCCCCCAAAACCCTAAATACTTGAAGGCTTGCGACTTTGGTTACAGTGCGTGTACAGGCGAGGGCTCATGAATCATTGTACATAGTTGCTGCTAACAGCAAGCAGGCAACCAATTCAGCTGAAAAGGAAAGCGAGAGCTACGATGATACAGTCAAGCTCACGAACGCTAAACCGCAACGGGTACGGGCATATGAAACCCTAAGCCCCAAACACGGCACCCACAGCGTGCGTTGTCGCCTTTGTTCGCATTGAGTGTCGGATTAGACACCACGCACAACTGGGTTGGCGATTCAAGCGCTCTGAAGAGTAATATTGAAGGAAGAGCTGTCAAACCCAAGAGAAAGCGCAACAAGAACACAGTGACAGCTAGACAAGCTTCCTGCAAACCCTGGAAACGCCTGAACCCAAAGCACCTAAACCCAAAAACCTAAACTCCTGAATCCTAAAGTTACGACTAAACCGTGCGAATCCCCTATGGACTCTAAACCCCAAAGCCCGGACTGGTCCCTAGCAGCAAAGACATGCCAGGCCGTCGAGTCTGTAGCAAAAGCCACACTGGCAACGGAGCCCGAATGGCCGCTGAAAACCTGGGCGTTTATAGGGTTTTAGAAGCTGTGCAGGGTTCTAGATTGTTTATAGGGTTTATGAAATTTATCAGGGGTCCATAGGGTTAACAAGTTTGACGGGTTGGTAGGGTTTATTTATGATCGAATGTAGAGTTTTTCTATTTGGCTTTAGAGGCCAGAAGGCTTCAGAGGGTTTCAAAAGGTGTTGTAGGGTTCATTTTGGTAACTTCAGGTAAGCTTCGGGATGTATTCATAGGGACCCTTAAGGGGATAGGGGGAGGGGGGTGTAGGGGGCATTAATAAGGCCGATTTAAGGAAGTATAATGCCCTACCCCCCTCAACCCTAAACCCTAACCTCCCCCCTACCCCCTAAGGGTCCTAATGATGTACAGGGAATGGCGTCACAAATTTTCACACGGAGGTGGTGAATTTGATCTTCGAGCAATGGGCCTCAGTGACTCCAGAAAGTTGGAATATGGTTTCATGATAGGATACCCTATAATTTACCATAGAAGGGTTTAGGATAATCATATTCCAACTTTCTGGCTTTTACTTTATGTAGTAAGAACCTGGGTGGCGGCATTTGGAGATGCTCCCGAGCCCGACCCTAAAGCCTAAACCTGAAAAGACCTATAAACCCTGTGAGACGAAAAACATACCCATCAAAAAGCGCCATAAACACCCTACATGAGGAAACTGTATACTATCTACTATAGGTACCTGATGTGGCAAATTGACGGAAAAATCTTTAAGAAGAACCTGACATACTGCAATAAGCCCTAAACACCCCCAGCCCCAACCTCAAGTAGGAACTGCAAACCGTGGAAAACAACTCTCCAACTTTCAAATGGGACTTCAGGCTTGGGGTCCTCCTTGCCGCCTCATTTCCTGTTAACGGACCATCTTATATGTACCAAGGAGTATGGGTTTAGGGTTTAGGGTTTAGGGTTTAGGGTTTAGGGTTGCCAGTTCACAGCCAGGATGTTTGTCCATTTGCAGTAGCTCGTCACCTTTGTTCCGGCCATAACCAGTGCTAGGATCCTAAACCCATACTTTACCTAAAACCATATGGGTGGTTGTCAAAATTATGGTCCCTTTTTGGGTCCCTATTATAATACAGCACATATTATTTAGGGCACTCAAAATCAAAAAGGAACCATCATGTTGACAACCACCCACTTCGGCTTTAAGGTTTCGAGGTTAGGGCTTTTGGGTTTTGTGTCGGTGGCTACTTAGCTTGAATCGGAATACCTGAGGTTTACAAGCCATCTATTATAGCGGCCTTAATAGCTAGAACAAAATAGTATAGGTAATTATTTAGGCCCCTACATTAAACATCCTTAACACCTGATTCACACAACACCATGCACCATTTATGAGACACACACATCTTTGAACACACAAACTGTCACAAACCTTTCCAATGTTACAGACAAGCGCCAAAAGAAACAACACCCCAAACAACCATTTCAACAACCTTAAAACACCAAAGCCGCCAAACCCTCAAATAGAGAGAACCCTAAACCCTAAACCAAAAAACCCAAACCCTTACCCGTAAAAACCCTAAAGCCCTGAACCCTAAAAAACCACTGCGTGGTTTCCTTCCTTGGCCACCCGGCCCGCACGGCTTGAGCCGTCTCGAAGTCCCAAGCGATGGCGGTCCTACACTCGCCGATGCTTAAGGGGTTACCATAAGGGATTTATTTAAGGGTCCCTTTAAGGGTTACTAGAGGTAGTATAAGGGTTACCATAAGGGTTATACAGGAATGTGGGGTTTAGAGTATTCTTATAATGGCATACACTATGACTATATATCTACTAAAGTACTATGGCCTAAGGGAACTGTAAGGCTATCGGGTTTCAGGGTATTGGTTCTGTAAGGTCTTGGGATTTCGGGCTGTCAGTTGTGTTGGTGGCGTTTTCAAGGGCTAGAGGATCTTCGACATTCTTCGAGGAGGTGGGGTTTAGGGTTTAGGAGGTTTAGGGTTTACGGCGAAACCCTAAACCTCCCAACCGCCCCAACGCCCTACACGCCCTAAGCCGTAGGGGCTACAGGGTATCTCAGGGGCTTCGTTTAGGTGCGGGGCTCCGGGCACAGGTTCAACTTTAAGGAGTCAGTTTAGGGTTTAGGCTTTTGGAGTTTATGGTTTTAGGGGCATTACTAAGGGCTCCTTTCAGGGTTAACTTCAAAACATAGCTGTACAAGGTCCTTGTAGTTTACAGGCTCCTGTAAGGGTTCCGAGAGCGGTTCCTTTAAGTGTTCCTGTAAGGCCTAACTTTCGAGATTAAGGGATTGGGGATTAAGGGTTTATGGCTTCAGAGTATGGGACGAAGTTTTGGGTTGGGGTGTGCATGGGTGTTTTGCTCAGGGTGCAATTTTTCTTCGGCTGGGCTGCGCCAGCATTCGAGATGAGTTCGGACCGGGCCACAGTGACACTGCTTCGCTTGATTGGCTTCTCTGACCCACATGTCTCTGAATAATATGGGGCCCGAATAAGTAGAACAGGCTGTCGGGCTCCACTGTAAGTAATTCTTATACATAGTTGTAATCAGGGGTCCTAAGGTGTAGTATTACTGGTTACTCGGACTACTTTTTTACGTTTAGGTTTAGGGTCTAGGTGGCTGCAGGGGGCTCGAAGGGTACATGACTGAGAGGATTGTGCAAATCAAGAGCTTTGTTCCTTGAAAAAAGTGCCCTCCCCCTTCCCCCCCACCCAACCGTCTTCCACCATCTTTCAGACCCGCTCCTGTCCAAGGCACCCGTGGCAAGAAGCTTGCCGTTTGCGGAACATGCCTGGAGGATGCTGCATGCCAAACTTGCAACCCGAGGATCAGGGTCTTGTAAAGTTGTCGGGTGACATGGTTGCTGAATGGTATTGCCCTTGTTATGTGGCCAGCTGTTGTTCCTCCGTGTTCTCATTTGCTGTTGATCTAGTGCTGCGAGCTGATAGGCAAACCCCGCACCGCTGCGAGCAGTGTTGGAAACAGCTCTATTTGGCTATGCCAACGCGCAATATGTCCAACGGCCCAAGGTGCATCCTCAGCCCTGAAAACCTAAACTTAACACTAACGTATAGCACTGTCGAACTGTTATCTGTGACGGGCGAACCTCTGTTGGACCTTCTTAAGGTTCAGGGTTTAGGGTTCAGGGTTTACGGTTTATGGTGTGGGGTTTAGGATGTCTTTACAACTCCACCAAACCCTCCCTGGACCCTAAAGAACCTGCTTTTCACGGCTTATACAAGGACATCATGATATGGAGGCTATTAGCTGCACATGTATTCCAACCCGAAAAGCATGTCAGCTGTTTACTATAGACCAAGAAACCGCTGAGACCCTGAACGACAAACTTCGTCTAAAGGCTTGGACGAACACGAGGGCGGCACCACTGCTGCGATTGGCGCATGGTGGGCCCGGAAGTTCCTCCGCTCACGCCACGAAGGAGTACCAATGCTCAGTGACTTCCGGGTCTGATTTCTTAATCTCAGAACAGAAATGATGCATGTGGGTAAACATATATGTATTTAGCAACGAGATAAATAAGGAGAGAGAGAGAGAGAGAGAGAGAGTGTGTGTGTGTGTGTGTCTGTGTGGGTGTGTGCGTATGTGTGTATGTGTGCGTGCGTGCGTGCGTGCGTGCGTGCGTGCGTGGGTGGGTGGGTGGGTGGGTGGGTGCGTGGGTGTGTCTGTGTGTGTGTGTGTGTGTGTGTCTGTGTGCATCTGTGGCTGTACTTCCGTGTCTCCGTCCGTCTCCGGATCTCCGTGTCTGCGTTGGCATGCTTCGTGGAGTTGTATTGACAAATATGTGCGTTCGCACGAAGTATGTATCCACATATTCCATTGTAGCCGCTCCCACTGCCATAGGCCCCCATAAATGCCTTCACCCCAAACACTAAACTTCACCCCTAAATCCTAAACCCTGAACCCCAAACCCTTAACCCCTACAATCCGGGCTGCTCAGCCTCATGATTTCGCCCGACGTCACACTCCGGAGCTGCACGTGCCCGTCCTGCAGACGGGGTTAGATGGACAAAAAATACGGGCGACAATATTTAAAGAGGGGTTTAAAAAAGGGTTCTGTGACGGCAAGAACCGCCATGAAACGGTATAAATGTACGGGCGGTAACAATTGGAGTAAGTGTAAGAATTGCTGCAAATGGTGTCACATGAGCCAGCATGAGGATTAAGCAACACTAGAAGAGGAAGACTACTGCAGACCCACTGAACAGAAGTATGCAAAGCTTACGAACTGCGTTTTGTTGCTGCTGTTGTTGTTGGGCAGCAAGAAGGCACAGGGTTTGAGAGTGCAGGATTACGAACATGATTGATATATGTTAGAAGCTGCCCCCACCCTGTAATAGTAACTATAAGGATTATATTAGGGCCCTATAATATTCCTATTATATCACTATTACAGGGTGGGCGCAGCTTCTAAGATATATGTGCATTACTGTTAGCTGTTACAACTATGGATTGATATATCCTCTGTACTACCACTTCACGCCCGAGATCTGCATGATTCAAAGCAGCGCTCCATCATTCCAAGCACCAGGGACAGCCCTGACCTTAGACTTAGCTTTGGTTAGTAGGGAATGGAGGAATGGGGTACAGTTAGAACTACTATTACTACCATTCTTCCATTCCCTACTAACCAAAGGTAAGTAGAGCTGTGGTGCGGTCTGACTGGTTGAGCTTTCTGCATGAAAACGGCTGAATCCCTGGTTTTACCAGAGCGTCCTTGAACCCACAACCCTTAGCCCTTAATCCCAAGCACGAATTTCCTACGCAAAAGTCGAGGGCCTTGACTGCCTTAACCTTACCACTCGCTTTTCAAGTTTAAACTAGGGTTTATGGTTACCTCTGGCATCGGGACATTTAAAGCGTCTTTGATGGAAAAAGGATGCGTTTTTTAGATTCAAAACAGGGATGTCTCGGATTCATTTGAACTATAATGTTTGTTTTGGAAGCGCTTTTGGTATAAGTAAGGGCTGCTATGAAGTAAGGGCTCGCCACGGTATTTTTTTAAGTCTTCTAGGGGTTCGGTTGGGGTGTATCAGGGCCCTTGGAGGATTGGAGGGCTTTACAACATCTTCGACGTAAGTTTTTGGGAGGACTGTGCTCTAGTCTCCTGAGATTTTCTCGTTCTGTTCATATAAAACCAAAGAGAATGTTGAGCATGTTACCTCATTATGGTTCTAAGGCAGGTATAGTGTAGATGAATTTAGAGGCGTAAGGGAGAGACGACGGTTTTCGGGAGGTTTTATACTATGAGGCATCATCCTGCTGTTAACCCATGGAGTGACCCTCATGGGCCCCGCTTTAGGAGTTGAAAATCACAAGGCCCCAACCAATAACCTAAAAAAAACGTAAAACGCGGAAACAACCCGAGGCCGAGAGGCCCTGTAGAATCCCTTGTAGAACCCGTCTAGTAACCCCATGCTCCAATTCTTATAGAACGCTTTGCAGAACCCTTGTAAAATCCCTGTTGTTGGCCCAAATTCCTGATAATCTTGATAAGCCTTCTATATGACACCCCATCAAACCATACAAAGACACGAAATACGGAGACTACCCTACTTATGCAATCCTGACCCCTCCCCACACCAAACCCTACACCCTAACCACCCTCCACCAACCCGGTTCACCCAAAAAACAAAACGAAGGGCCTTAAGGACGAAATGAGCCCTAAAAGGGTTTAAGGTTCATATACCATATAGGGATTCATAGTATATAGGTATAGCACCCCTACTTTTAAGGGTCATTTGATCCTTCAGGGGGTGACTGAGCCCAGAGCGCTGCGAACGCCACGCCCGTGACCACGGAGGAGACGCCTTCGATCGTCCTTCTAACTTCAGGGTTTGGGGGGGGCCCTGCAAAGGGGACTAAGGTTCCCTGACGGGATGTATAGGGGTTATATAAGATTCTATAAGAGGGTTTGGAGGTAAAAGTAATAGCAATAGTAAAAGAAAAAGCAATAGTAATAGTAGAAGGTCCTGTAAGATCCTATAAGAGGGTTTAGGGCTTAAGATTTCGGATTTCAGGCTTGAGGATAAAAGGTTTTGGGTTTAGGGTTAGGGTGTAGGGTTGAGTGTTTAGGGCTTTTGAAGTTTTGATCACGGTTTTATACATGCTGAACAGGGTTTCGGAAGGTTTAGGGTAGTTCCGCTCAGAGTCTTTGTCAGGAGAGTGATTCTTTACGCCTTTAGCTTCAAAAGGTCTGCAGTCTGTTAGTCTGTTGTCGGGATTTGTAAGGTTTACCGTCTTCTTAAGGTTTAGGGTTTAGGGCTTCTGGGTTACAGGAGTTTCTAGCAGTTTGCGATACATGTTTCTCTAGGGGTCGGCAAGGATTACTCAGAGACACGACACCCTAAACCCTAAACCCTAAACCCAAAACCCTAAACCCAAAACCCAAAACCCTAAACCCTAAACCCAAAACCCTAAACCCTAAACCCTAAACCCTAAACCCTAAACCGAAGAGAAGTTGGGACAAGGCTGATCCCTACACGCTCACTGCGGATCCGAGACCTTGAACTGCTTGGACTACACTCTCCTCATGTCTAATTGGGCCTAGGAAAGTTCTAAGTTTCTAAAGCAGACCATGACCAAGTATATAGGGCCTAAAAGCCTAAAATGTTCTCCTACTGGCTATCTAAGAACAGCGGTCCTTATAACATATGTAGAATAATGAGCTACCGAAGCCGACTCAGCAGGTGTCTATGTTCCAGCCCGGAGACAACAAGCCTTGCAAGCGTTTGCTCTGCACAACCTTCAGCATGTTAAGCACAGCACTGCCGCCCACGTGCTGCCAGTCTCTGCAGCTTTTCGCGCATACCGACAGCACTGCTATCACCACAAGCTCACAATGAGATCTTTGGAGCGGCGCCACATTGCCACCTCCTCCATACCAGAGTATGTAAGAAGAACCAGCGAGGAGCGAATCATGTCATCGGCTCAGATAATGCCGCAAGGCATACTCACTCACAGTCACTCACTCACACTCGCTTGGGGAAGTCCTGCGCGTCCAAAGCAAAGGGAAAAAGCCTACAAGCGGTTGCAGCCGTTGCACCGGCGGCCAGACGAGAGCTGCACAAGGAGGTGCCACGGGGGCCGCCAAGAAATCCGTAAGGCATACCCTGAATCCTACTTTTTGACAGTGTCTTCCAGAGAGGTTGCTTAAACCCTAGACCCCTATCTCTAAACTCGATACCCTAACCGTCGCGTGCCAAGCACGCGCATCGTCACACCAGTAGCAGTCGGCTCTGCTTGGGACTAGCTAGACCGCAAACCCCTAAAGGAACTCTTACTATCCGTGAAGGGAACCCCAAAGAACCCTTACAAATCACCCTCTTGCTCAGAGGATCATGGGACTCAGTAACTACGGTTATCAAGAAGCCAGCTGTAGTTCAAATTACATATTACAGCCCCCAATACGGGTACTTACAACCGTACTTACTAAGTCCCATGATCCTCTAAATAGAAGCTTAGGGGACCCAGAATCTCAGGTTTGCGTAGGGTTGAACTTCGGCTGAACCCAACTACGGGTGCTGAACATCCCACATACCACGGACACACTTATGACCCTCCCAGCCGATCAAGCAGTGCAAGTATACTATTGGTGCCCTAAACCCCAATCATCAACACAAGGCCCCCCAAACCCTAATCATTAAGGCACCGACCTTAAACCCTAGACTCTTAGACCCTAAACAAAAATCATTTATGTAAGGCCCCTACCCTAAACCCTAAACCCCATTCTACCGTAGACCCTAATCATTAAGGCCCCTACCCTAGACCCTAAACATTCTAATTCTACCCTAAACCCTAATCAGTCCTAATCATGAAGGCCCCTATAGCTCCCTGCACAGCAGCCGAAACTGAGAACGTGTGGTCCTCTCGCAGTTGCCAGTTTCGGCGCCTGGGGGACGTTTCAAGGCTTCCAGAATACTATGGCTTAGGAGCTGCCCCCACCCTGTAATAGTGATAGTGGTATAATAGGAATATAGTAGCGCCCTAATATAATCCTTACAGTCACTATTACAGGGTGGGGGCAGCTTCTAAACTTTAGGGGCCTTATCTTTTTGGAATAGGGTTTCGGGTGTGTTGTACTAGCATCACCTGCGGGAATTTGAAGGCTTCCAGAATGCTTTAGGGCTTGGGGCTTAGAATGCTTTTGGGTTTGGGGTTTAGAAACGTTTCGGTTTCGGGTTTACGGTTTGAGAGCTTCAGGGTTCACATAGGGGTTCAGGATTCACCAGATGTTGCAAGCTCCCGGCTAGAAAGTCTCCACCCGACCCGGCGATGACACAGATCCGAATTCCGAAACCGCCAGTCGGCTTGTGATGACTTGACGACGTCGACCTTGAAACCTAACGGTGACAGTGTAACTTTCAGCTTTGCTGCTACATGACACAACATGACCGGTGAACTTACTTCAAACACCCGCTTATATTCAGAACGTAGTATGCTCACATGTTAAGAAGCCACTGACGTTACAGTGACACCCACAAACACCCCTGACATACACAACCTCAACCTGTACTGCCGCAGAACCCTGCATACTGAATGTCGCGTTCATGAGATGGAATGAAAATCGCCTTGAGGGTCCAACAGTATGTATTAGAAGCTGCCCCCACCCTGTAATAGTGATCATAAGGATTATATAGGATTATATTAGGGCCCTATTATATTCCTATTATACCACTATTACAGGGTGGGGGCAGCTGCTACAGTATGTAGCACTTATGTGGGCGGTTGTCAAACTTAGGGTCCCTTTTTTGGGTACCCTAAATAATAGGTGCCGTATTATCATAGGGACCCGAAAAGGGACCCTAATTTTGACAACCACCCCTGTAGATGTTAGCGCTTAGGACAGTAGTAATGAAGTTTCGCATTTCGGTTCCTACAAAACAGCCCTACAAAACGGTATAACATCGCAAAGAACCACCAAACTAAACCCTATATATATATATATATATATATATAAGCCCTATAGATCCCTTAAAGGAACTCCTAAAACATCCGCGAAAAGAGACCTAAACCCTAAAACCCTAAATCCTGAACCCTTAACCCTAAACACGAAACCCAAAACCCGAAACCCTAAACCCCGAAACCCTTAACCCTGAACCCTAATCCCCGAACCCTAAACCCTTAAACCCTCTAAAACCCTCTCTTTAAAACCCTATAGATCCCTCAAAAGAACCCCCTTAAAGAATCCCTCAAAGGAGCCCTGGACCCTTAAACCCTCTAAAAGCCCAAAACCAAAAAAATGCCTTCGATGGGGTTCCCTCTCAGCCCGCAGCTCCAGATCTTCGTGATGCCATCGTCATAGGTCGCGGCCAGGAAGAGCCTTAGGGTTTAGGGTTTGGGGGTGTGTAGGGTTTAGGGTTTGGGGGTTTAGGGTTTAGGGTTTGGGGGTGTGTGGTTTAGGGTTTAGGGGTTTAGGGATTAGGGGTTAGGGCTTTAGGGGTTTATAGGGTCGTAGGTCGCGGCGAGGAAGAGCCTTAAGGATGGGCGGGGCTTTCAGGTTTAGGGTTGAGGAGGTTCAGGGTTTACAGGGTTCAGGGTTTAGGGGTTTACCCTATGCCTTTAAGGACCTCATAGTTAGAGCCCTAGACCCCTTAAGGACCCCATAATTAGGTCCCTGGAGGCATAGGGTTAGGGTTTATAGGGGTTTGGGGGTTGGGGATGAGAGCTTCGGGATGCAGGGCTTAGCATTTAGAGCTTCGGGATGCAGGGCTTATGACGGTTCTAGGGTCTATAAGGCTTGAGGCCTTAAAGATGTTTTTTGTCTGGGACTCAGGGCCTTGGGTCGACTTGCGGGTGAGCCTTGAATTCAATCGACCACACTTAAGCCGAACATAGCTTGGTTTCTGGCTAGTACTGCTGGGAGAGCATGACATTCAGTGAGCGGGCCTTGTGTGCTTTCTTAGCCTCTGGATCTCAAAGAATTGCGAGAGTGTGCATCCAAAAAGCAACTTCTAGTCCAAAGTCGCAATCCTTCATGCTTGCCAGAAGTGGTGGACACATAACTCTTATGCCTATTGCATGCTAGTCTCACTATCTCCGAAAGTGGTAGTTTTAGAACTGGTGCTACTCTAAACTTTCTACCGTTACAGCTCTGCCCTTTGGTATTATTGTAAAACAATTATTGATGCCATCGATCTTGCCGTCGAGGTTCCCAGCAAACCCTTCAATAACAATGCCTTATCATCACCAAAAGTCTGAACACGCCAAGCCGCTCCGGATACCGTATAGCAGCGACCTCGACGGCAAGACAGGTGGGTGGTTTGGGTGCCCTAAATATTAGGTGCCGTACTATAATATGGACCCAAAAAGGGACCCTAATTTTGACAACCACCCAGGTGGAGAAACCCTCTAGGGAGTTGGATGTACGGGGTATCCGCAACTGCACCAAGAAGGTTTCTACTCTACTGGCAATGCGAGGAAGCGGGGCCCTGGCCCTGTAGCCCTAAACCTTTCATGCCCCACAGGCAGAATGCAAGCGGCAATAAACGAGGGGCCTTGGTAATTTGAACAGGGTTCCTCTAAAGGGGTCCGTTTTGAAGGGTTCCATAAGGGTGTAATATAGGGGTGCTGTAGCAATTATTATCGAGCTGTGGGGGTATCTCATAGTATAGATATGGGTGGCTGTCAAGATTAGGGTCCCTTTTTGGGTCCTTGTCATAATACGGCACCCAATATTTAGGGAACCAAAAACAGGGACCATAATTTCGACAGTGACAACCACCCACGTAACAAAAGAGCCGTAGGGGACACGGGCTACTGATCACGTCGACCCCATGGTTTTTGGCAGCACCGATCATCATGTGGGTAGTTGTCAAAATTATGGTCCCTTTTTGGGTACCCTAAATATTAGGCGCCGTATTACAATAAGGACCCAAAAAGGGTACATCATTTTGACAACCACCCATGTTTGTGGCTCCAACTTCTTGGGGATGACTGTGGAGGTCTAGCGAGCTAGAAATTGCAACGCCTGACCGTCTAGTCCCTATACCTTAGGGCATGAAGAAGGGGCTTAGGGTGTAGCTTGATGCCATAAAACACGCCAAAACCCGATTCCTAATATGCAAGTCTCCATCTTCCCGTAAGCTTCTGGGCGTCTTTGGGAGATCCGACCTAACGAGCTTCCCGAAGAGCCGTATACCCCCTCAAACTAGGACTACACCTTAACCTACAAGGCGTCAGAGTATGATTCAAGGCATCTTCCCTCATTAAGACATACCCAGAGACTCCAATATCCCTTAATTAAGGAATATACCTTAAATTATAGTAGGATCCCTAATATGATGTAGGGTATATTCCTTAATTAAGGGATATTGGAGCCTCTGGGTACCTGCCTCTTTGGGTTGTCCCTTCGGTTGATGATATAAATCCTGCATCAGAAAAAATCAGGAATATACCATAATTCCCATAGCTTAGGGTCCTTAAGGTAATGCAGGATTTATATCATCAACCGCTTGCGTTGGAGCAAAGGCCAGTCCAATGCCCGAAAGTCTAAAGCCCAAAGCCCCCAAGGCCTAGAGACTGCCCGCGATTTTCCAGCTACAAAGCCTTGTAAACCGTGTGCCTTAAACTACGGAAACCTTCTTTTCTGCAAAGTCCCCAAATCTGAAAGGCTTGAAACAAGAATCTGCAAGTAAGTAGGTTATGGTGGCTTAAAGTAGCCCTAAGCACTCCAAACCCGAATGCCGAGAGTGCGGCAGTGCAGCCGTCGCTGAGGCCGGCATCCTCAACACACAGAGAGCCCAATACCTCTTAATTAAGGAATATAGCTTAACTCATAATATGAAGCCCCTGATGGTTTAAGGTATATTCCTTAATTAAGGGGGTATTGGGCGCTCTGGGAGTCAGACTGGGGTTGTAAAACCCTAAAACCCAAAACAACATCCCGAAACCTCTAAACTCAAAAGCACAAAGCAGAAAAAAAAAAAAAAAAAAAAAAAAAAAAAAACAAAAAAACACGAAACCCTCTTCGGTTTGGAATCTCAAAGGCACAATCAAGAAATCAAACCCTACAGTACACCCTCTTCGGTTCTGAACGTCCCTCTCCTCCAGAGTCAGACTGTCGTCCAGCACCTGGCCATGGTGAGAAAGGTCCTTTCTCCTTGGGGCTTGGGTTTTAGGGAGGTTACGGTTTAGGGTTTAGGGTTTAGGGTTAGGCCCCAAAATGTCCTAATGTAGAGGCCTTAATAACTGGTCCTATCTCTTCGGGACTTTTGGGGACCGTTCTTAAAGGCCCTGGATATGGGAGCCCAAATACTTACCAATACTACTTTAAGGCTTCCTTAGTCTAAATATGATTATGGTATAGTTTACCCCCCCAAGCCCTATTCTAATTGGCAAGGCCCCTAAAATAAACCCAAAGCCCTGGCGGTTTTGGGTTTAGGGTTTAGGGATAAGGGTTTGGGGTGTAGGGTTTAAGGTGTGCCTTTTTAAACCCCAACCCAAAAGCCCATACCCTAGACTTGAACCTGGAAGCTCCAAGACCTAAAACTTGGTAGGCTGAGCCGACACTATGACCGTGGTATCCATAATCAGGGTTACGTTTATAAGGGTTACTAGAAGCAGGGCATCTGCCCGAATCCGAAGCCCTACGGTTGATGATATAAATCCTGCATTGCCGATAGTAAGGCATGTGCCATACTTCCCATAGCTTAGGGTCTCAGGTAATGCAGGATTTCTATTATCAACCTAAACCCTAAAACCCTATAGATCCCTTTAAAAGAACCCCTTAACAGTATCCTTATAGATCCCTTTAAAGGAGCCCTGTAGGATCACTGATAGTACAGTAGAAGCCCAAAAGTTGGAAACCCCATAGCCTCATTCCTTAAGGGCAAGCTTCGGTCGCCAGGGTAAATGCATTTGTTTTTATTGAAGCGAAACTGGCACAAGAGCATTTATGGTCGTCTGGTTTGTTTGGTGTTGCTGTGTTCCTGCTCGGCCGGCAGGCGTTCCGCAGCTTTCTCCGGGTGATGAGTTTGCCGCGCTCTCCACGTGCTTCGCCTTAGTCGCAGCAAAGCTTCCCGACGAACCCTGAAGCTTTTCACTCAACCCGGCAAGCACTGAAAATTTAAGGGACAGTGTCCTACATATAGTAAAGGAGCCTCAACAATACCAATATTATTTCGAAGGGTCCGTTTCTATACATTTACAGCATAATACACTCCAAAGCCCTATTCCAATTATCAAGGCCCTATTTTGGGAGAGAATTGCACTATATTACTATATGTACAGGATGCCCCAGAACCCCATTCTAAGTCTTAAGGTCCCTAATATTAATCGAGAGAATCCCCTTAGTAATGTATAGGGAATTCCAGCACTATTTGGCCTTAATCCGGTTTCCAACTTTATGGGGCTTACTGTATCGTAGCCCTAAACCCCCAAACCCCCCCAAACCCCCCTAAACCCCTCTAAACCCCTAAACCCTCTAAACCCTTAAGCCCCCTAAACATCGTAGCCCTAGCACCGAAGCCCCGAGTACTGTAAGGCTTGAACCCTATACCCTAAACCCTAAGCCCTAGCAGAGCCCTAAACACCCAAACCCCCCTAGCCCCCTATGAACCCTATACCCTAAACCCTAAGCCCCCTATGAACCCTAAACCCTAAACCCTAAACCCTAAGCCCTAAACATCGTAGCCCTAGCACCGAAGCCCCGAGTACTCTAAGGTTTGAACCCAAGTTGTCTCAGCCCGGCCTGGGTCTGGAAAGCCAGCATGAGGTTCAAGTCCTCGGCGCGGGCCTTCGAGAAAAGAGTTTAGGGCTTAGCCCAAAGGGTCCTATGTACTGTTATGGGGGATACTTCCCTAAGTCATAATAGTAATTTCTAAAATGGAAACCGTACATTTTACTATATCGGTACATAGGACCCTTTGGGTAGGGGTTTAGAATTTAGGGCTTAGGGTTTAGGGCTTAGGGATTAGAGGTTAGGGCTTAGGGTTTAGAGGTTAGGGGTTTGGGTTTAGGGTACAGGGATTAGGATTCAGGGTTTCGGGCTGGGGGCTTGGGGTAGCGCTTTTGGGGGTTGGGTTGATTTAAGGGTGGTTGCTAGATGCTGTGACAACAACTACAAGGATTTTGGTCTGGAGTGTGGGGCTTGAGGGTTTACGGTTTTTAGTTATGACGCTTAGGGTGTTTGGGATTTGGGGTTGAGGGTTCCCCGGGTAGCTTCAATGCAAGGGTAACATGAGCCCTACTGTATCCATGAACCTTACACTTTGCTTGACACCCTGGAGTAACATGTCAACATCCTTTAAAAGAAACGAGCCCTACTCCAGTTCCTACTCCAGCTACCAGGTCCTTTGCTTAGGGTCTAGCAGCCTACTTAAAGGATCATGGGACTTAGTAAGTAGGTTATAATTGGGGTTATAAGTCCCCTAAGTGGGATTACCCTGATTATAACCTACTTATAACCTTACTTACTAAGTCCCATGAGCCTTCAAGTAGCAACCAGCCGAGGGCCCCGGCGGCGGTCTTGATCGCCATAACGAGCTCGCCGACGGTTTGGAGGGAGTGGACCTTCATCCTGGGCAGAGGGCATGCTATAGGTTAGGTTGAGGGTTTAAAAGGGGGTGGGGGCGGGGTTAGGGGGATTCCTATAAGGCTTCTGTAGAGTTTCATAAGGTTCTGTAGAAGTTGTATAGTATAGGGCTGTCCACCGTTAGACTTCTGCCTACTGGGATTTGAAACCCTAAGCCCAAGGACATCGAAGCTTCCTGCTTAAGGGCTGGGTCTAGGGTTGGAGAGTTTGGTGGTTGTTTTCACTCCCTGCGCTTATGAAAATGAAGCCCTGAACCGTAAACCCTGAACCCTGGACCCTAGTTTACGGCTTACAGGTCCGACAAATGGGTGGTTGTCAAAATTAGGGTCCCTTTTTGGGTACCCTAAATAGTAGGTGCCGTATAATAATAAGAATAAGAATAAGAATAATGATAAGAATAATACTAATAATAATAACAATAAGAAGAAGAAGAATAGTAATAATAAGAATAATAAGAATAATAATAAGAATAATAATAAGAATAATAACAATAATAATAACAACAACAACAACAATAATAATAATAGTAATACTAATAATACTAATAATACTAATACTAATAATAATAGTAATAATAATAATAATAGTAGGGACCCAGAAAGGAACCATAATTTTGACAACCACTCAAATCTGGATTTGGGATGCAGGAGCTCTTTTCGCTGCTGACCCCGGATGCGGAGGTTTTACGGGGTATTTAGGAGTTTTCGCTTAGGATTCGGACCCCCCCCAGAAAAAGGCACATGCGATGCAAACGACACCGACGAACAAAGGCGCAAGCGCCTGCCTTCTTGCGCCGTTTCAAAAACCCGATGCACCAGCCAAAATCATTACCAAGGCTATTTCTTAAAGGTTCCTTATGCTTCTGCATACACTACACTACACTACACTCCAAAACCCTGTTAAATTATACTATATGTGACTGCGAATTAGACCAAGAGGGCCAGGGCAGCTGAGTGCTTCGCTTTGCCAGCGGAATGCCGTTCATCCGCGTGATGAGCAAGGAGAAGTACTCCTCTCAGTCATTCGGAGAATTCGGAGATATGGGCTCGATTCCGGTTTGGAGTTTAGGGCTTTGGCTTACGGTTTAGAGTTTAGGGTTTATACCGAGTTAGGTTTAAAGCTTAGGATTTGCCGGGTTCGCGATACTTTCCACACATAAAAGCGGAATCAGACACTACCTTAAAGCCCTAAACCCTACTTTTTTGTAGGTTCTTATTATAAACCCTACCATGGAATTTATAGGGACCCTACAAAAAAGTAGGTTTCGGTAGGTTTAGGTAAACCTCAAGCCTCAAAATCCTGGATGAGCAGAGCAGGGAGTATCGGCTCGGGTCTTGCAAACTTGAGCAGGAAGACCCCAAGTGGGGATCTCCGAAAAATAGGGGACCCTAATCTAGTACCCTAAATTGGCCCTAAATAATCAGTATGGTACGCCCTGGCGGCGTGTATTTTCGAGATATAGATTCGGAGGGATTTCAGATTGTAGACACTGCTTTCTTATGCTGCGTACCAGTCTCTAGATGATAGGATCCTTCTTATATGGACCCCAACTCAGGTACGCCTACTGTTCGGAAACTCCTCACTTCCAAGTCCGGAGCCTGAAGAAGGGAGAAATTGTCCTTTAAGGCTCCCTGGCTTAATTACGTCATACAGCGGGTTTAAGGTTCAGGGTCTACGGTTTAGGGTTTAGGGTTTAAGGTTCGCGGTATAGGGTTTAGGGGTTTTGGGGGGCTTTGGGGGCCTAGGCGGTTCAGGGTTATACAGTGGCTTTAAGGTTACGGGTTTAGAATCTTGCCTCCTTGGATCTACTTGGCCACTTCTCCCTACTTGTCGGGTATCATGGGGAACTAAAGGTTAACCATTTGGGATATTTAGGGAATTACATAGGGACTATACTACCCAAGAAAGTTTAAAGGCTACCTACTCTAATTACTAGAGAACCCTAAGCCCTGAACCCAGAAAACCCTCAACCCTATAGATCCCTTAAAGGAACCCTTAAAGTAGTCTACTACTAGAAAAAATCAAACTTCGACATTTGAACCCGCAGTCTTCTCTCCGATGAAACACGGCAGCCCATGGGTCGGCTTCAGGGTTTGGGGTTTAGGAGATCTATAAGGGTTCCTTAAAGGGATCTATAAGGGGTTCTTACAGGGATCTACAAGGGGTCCTTAAACGGATCTATATATGGGGTCCTTAAAAGGGCTATAAGGGTTCCTTAAAGGGATCTATATGGGGTCCTTGAAGGGATCTATAAGGGGCCCTTAAAGGGATCTATACGGGTTCTATAAAGGGTTTAGGGTTTAGGGACAAGAAGCGCTATCTGTGAGATCAGCGCTGAGACAGCAGGCCCTTGGCCCACAGTCTGGTATGCCATTTCAGTCGTGGTGGTCGCGGCGCCTTCTTGGAAGGCCTGACTGTCACCTTGGGAACCAGCTTGGGCTTCGGCGCCAGAGTAGTCGGAGGCACCGGCGGAGGTGTTTGCGGGGTGATTTCCGATCCCGCTCTCTGGGCGCTGCCGCCCCACGTGGGCGGTCCAGATGCCATTGATGGGCATTAGGTTCCAGGTGTTTGGCCACCTGGTGAACTGTGTGGTCGGTTGTGTCCAGTTCGCTTGAACTCTCTGAGGACGCAAGTTCCGACCCTGATTCCACTGTGCGGCAGTAATAATTGGCTCTGACAAACCCCAGTTCTGCTGCCAAGCCCCCAAGGCCCAGTGAGCAGGATCTGGAGCTGGACGAAAAGCGGCCTGCCTAGTAAAGGCAAGCTTTGCAAGCTGATTGTCGTCCAACCGAAGCCTGAGGTCTGGAAACCTTTCAAGTGGAAATCTCTTTGAAGCAGCCCAGGTCTGTCGTGCAGCGACTGGTTGCCATGGTGAGTTGACTTCTCTGTCTGGAAGCTGCAAGGAAACCGAAAGATAATGGTCTTCACCACCACTCTCCTTGAGCTCTTTGAGTTCGACCAGACGAACCCCGATTGCCTCGAGCTTCTTGCTGGCCCAACACAGAAAGGTAGGGTCAACCAAGAACCGTCGGCCAATGAAGTCACTCCCTGCAACGATGCCCAGTAACCTAGGATCTGTAAGGGTTCCTTTGAGGATTCCTTTTACGGGTTCCTGTAAGGGTTCCTCTTATGGGGTTCGTTTATTAGGATGCCCAGTACCCTAGGATCTGTAAGGATCTCGTATGGGCTTAGGGTTTAGGGGTTAGGGTTGAGGGATCTTTTCAGGGATCTATAAGCCGGCGCAGGTGCTCCGGAAAAGAAAGAGAGTGCTGAACAGTGTCTGCTTTCTGCTTGAGCCCACGGCTTCGGAGGCGCATGACGTTTGGAGTGTCTGTATATGCATGTTGGTGCTTCCGACATGATGGCCTCACAATCGGCTCCTCTATGCGATGCACTGTCCTTTTTTCTTTTCGTGGTGCTGTATAGGCTCCGCGCAACGCCTGCAGCGGGCCGGCCTCGGCGACGGTGGGGACACACGGCGTGATTTTGATCTGAACATCCTGTGGATATAACCTGATCTGGTTGCACTGTGGATGCGTTCAACTGAGATCGGAACCCTCCACTACACGTACTTGTAGTCGGGCCAAAAGTCCTGGGCTCGCACACTTCGATCGGTGGCTGTGTTTCGGCTTTTGCGGTTATGCATTGGCATGTCTCAGGTTGGAACGCTGAAGTCCAAGCCCCCCTCGGGTGTCCATCGACACCACCCGAGGGTTGCCGCCCCCCAGTCGCATGTTTCCTCCTGCGGTCGAGGCTGTCCGGGAAACTCTAGCAGCTGCGTGTGTGTCTGTGTGTGCGTGTGCGTGTGTGTGTGTGCGTGTGCGTGTGCGTGTGCGTGTGCGTGCGTGTGCGTGTGGGTGTGTGGTGTGTGTGGGTGTGTGTGTGTGTGTGTGTGTGTGTGTGTGTGTGTGTGTGTGTGTGTGTGTGTGTGTGTGTGTGTGTGTGTGTGTGTGTGTGTGTGTGTGTGTGTGTGTGTGTGTGTGTGTGTGTGTGTGTGTGTGTGTGTGTGTGTGTGTGTGTGTGTGTGTGTGTGTGTGTGTGTGTGTGTGTGTGTGTGTGTGTGTGTGTGTGTGTGTGTGTGTGTGTGTGTGTGTGTGTGTGTGTGTGTGTGTGTGTGTGTGTGTGTGTGTGTGTGTGTGTGTGTGTGTGTGTGTGTGTGTGTGTGTGTGTGTGTGTGTGTGTGTGTGTGTGTGTGTGTGTGTGGGTGGCTTTGTGCGCGGCTAAGCAGCAGCAGTATAAACGTGCCAGCGACTGCTGGTACGCCACCACCATTGATTGTCGCACCTTTGGTAGCAGGGAGGAAGCACGGACGTGGATGTGATGTTGTGTGCCGTCTAGGTCTCAGTCCTGGCTCTGAACGGCGTGCCGTCGAACTCTGCTTCCACGCCGAAGCGGTTGCCCATCTGCAGACAAAGTGGGTGCTGATGATATTGCCCTTTTTAAATAACGCTTTATAGCCACGGCCTCGTCTGGAGGTGGTCGGCGGCTGTGGCTCAGCTAGCGACTAGTGTCGATTCTCTGAGACGAAGCTGCGGTGCGTGTCGGACACGGACTTGCGCACGAGTAACTACCATGGTTCTCGTTTAATACTAAGGGTCTGATGGCATCGTTTTTTCGCTGGGTCCGCTTCGTCACAGCTCCGTGAGACGGCATCGGTGTAGCCATTCGGCTAGACCCATCTTGTGCACTGCTCTCACTCTTCGCGGTCGAGCAGCCTGTAGGAGCTCGGGTCCTGCCAGCAACTGGGAGAGTGTCAGGCATGTGTGTGCGTGTGTGCGTGTGTGGGGCTCTTTCTTATGTCATGGCTGGAATGACCCATGCTGCTTGCCTGAGAGCTGGGTGGCGTCCGTCAGGGTGGCATTGTTGTGCACCAGGGTGATATTGAAACACCCGTCTGGTGCCATGCCGCGCTGCCGGATCACGCGTTCCGCAGCGAGTCGGACGTCCCCGCCGGTCACGTCGTCGCATTCCTCGGATCAGCTGGGTTAGTTTTTGTTTGACTCTTTTGTTATCCTCGGGATATGGCCTGGCTGCTGTTGTTCCTGAGGTCACGACGTGCCAGCTGGCGACGCCCAGGATGCTGCCACCCAGAGTTCGGAAGAGAACGGCGGCTCCGTTCTCCCATCCGAATTGGCACACCAAGACGATCTCTGGCCATGCTGCCTGACCAGTTGCCGGGTTTTGCTCGGCAGGGTTACAGGGAGGTTTTAGGATTAAGCTGCACACGTTCCTCTGTCCGTGCTACGAGTTGAGCGCCGGGCGGACTGTGCCATGGCAGGATGTGGGAATAAGGGTACTACTGGGCATCCTAGGCTACTGTTACTGCTGTTAGTCCTGCTTCCTCCCGCCACACGACGACCTCGACCTCGACACCGTACTACCACTAAGCCCAACCCAAAACCCCTATAACACTAAACTCATACTACCCAAAGCCCTAAACCCCTAGCCCCTACCTTAACCATGAATAACCTACCTTTCTAAGGCTCCTTGTTATGATTTCCGAATATAAGTCCTCAAAAAGGTAGGTTATTCAGGATTAAGGAAACCCCTAATTTCTACGACCATTTGAACTGAGACCCCCGGCCGACTGAGGTGCCTTGAGTTTCGCCTGTACAAAAACCAAGCGTTGAGGCTTTCCGGGTGGAGGAGGTCTTAGGGATTTGATTAGGGTATTAAGCTTTAGTATCAAGGCTTTAGCCCTTATTACTAGGTGCTTAGGCACCGTTATTCAAGCTTTGGGCTTTTCAAATTTTTCAGTGTTTTAGACTTTAGAGGCTTCGGCTCAAGGAGTTTAGGGTCTAGTGTTTACGGGGTTCGCAAGCCTTCTTCAGAAAAATGGTGGACAAGGCTGGGTGAGGTCTTGAGTTTGGGGCTTCGGCCAAGCATGTGGGATTGTAGGATAGGATTTAGAGGCTTTGGGGCTTTGCGGCTTGGGGGTTTAGGGGGTTTAGGGGGTTAAAGATTAGGATAGGATTATATAGGGGCTGGGGGGCTTAGGGGGCTAGGTTTAGGGGTCTAGGGTGTAAACCATATACCCTCTTCCACACGCTAAGGGCCCCCGCTGCTCTTCTCTGTTGCTGACACTGCCCTTCAGAGCATCTGCAGGTTTAGGGCTTAGGAAATCTTTGTCGGCCTTGCTGCATCTGCCACTTATCGAATGCTACTCTTCACCCAGAAATCCTGGTGGAGATCCATTCCATTCCTCGCAAGAAGGCAACGTTCCCGCTCAGCCAGAGGCTCGGGCAGAGACGGGAAAATGGGCGCAAGCCCTGGCGCCGCCTGAACGGGCAAACCGCGGTCAAAAGCCAGCCCAGTTGTGTCTGGCCTCCCTCCGTAGCACATTGGTCGGTGAACATAAGGAGGCGGGCACACCAGGCTTCCAAGTCGACGTTGTGGGTTTCCCTGGCCTGTTCCCAGCCATGGGCCGCGAACATGCTGACCAAGGCCAATGTCCTGTGATCGCCGACAGGGCTGCGCTTCTCCACAAAGGTCCGCATCAAGTTGGAGGGAGGGGACTGCACGCTTTCCCCGAGCTCCTCCGCAGCAAGGCGACGAATCTGCTCGGCAACCGCCGCATTCTCCCGGTGCAGTCTCACATAGGCGTCGCGGGCTGCCGAGCCCTTTGCGCCCAGGCTGGCGTCTTCTTTGGCTCCGCCCGAACCCGGAAGGCTCGGGAAAGAAGAAGCCAAGTTTAGTACACTATGGGGTACCACCATCAACCCTGAAACCAAAATCCAAAAATCCAAGACCCTCAACCCGCAGTTCTGAACCCCAAACCCTGGCATACGGGCCCGTAATAACCAGAACATACTAGAACAATGGGGGTTTTGTGGTACTTTATACTATACAGTAGAAGCCAGAAAGTTGGAATATCATTATCGTAACCCCGTTAAGGTAAATTATAGGGGATCCTACCATTGATCCGTATTCCAACTTTCTGGAGTTCCCTCTAAACCACGGTAGTAGTACCCCTGAACCCCCAAAGCCTTACACCCCCAAGCCCTAGACCCCAAACCCTGAAGCCTGAACCCCTAAACCATCCTAATGTAGGAACCTGTTTAAGAAACCTTCGGCCTTTACTTGGGTTCCTTTCATGAACCCTACTAGTTTTTGGCATTACAGGCCCAGGGTTACCAGGGTTCCTATACTCTAGAACCCTACTATAGATCCCTTATAAGACCCCTTTAATAAGAACCCCTATAAGGTTCCAGAACCCTAACCGTAAACCCTAAACCCCTTATAGTACTCCTTCTTCCTGAGCCCCTAAAGGGACCCTAAAAGGAACCCCTTTAAATGGAACCCCTTCACGGCACCCGCTTGGGCTCCTACATTAAATCTGGCCTTAATACCTGTAATAAGGACCTCATATAAGGCCGATTTGTGGAAATAGAGCCCCCTACCCCCCTAAGGCCCCCCTGCCCCGCTGAGGGTCTCTATGACTAAACCATCTTAAATGCTGTTCGATCCCGGGATGGGGGGAGGGTACTTCTATAAAAATATAGAAACCCTACATTCTACTATATGGGTACTTAGGACTTAGGGGAGTTGTGGGGGGGCCTTGTCCTCCATGGCAAATCCCAGCAGGTTGAACCTGAGGGCTGCTACCGAGGGCTCTAGAGTTCAGGGTTTGAAGTTTAGGGCTCTGGACGTTTAACGGGTTTAGGGGTTTAGAGTTTAGGATGATCTTTGCAGCTGAGGGTCTTTCTTCTAGTCGATTTCTAGAAGGTAGGTGCGGCAAGCCCAACCGTGAAACAGCCCCTTCAAGGGGTTTGAAGATATTACAACTGCAATAAGAAACCCCCGAAACATAGTATAGGTAATTCTTTGGGCCCTATAGTACAAAGCCTGCATCACCGAACAGAGTGTCAGAGAGAGCTGTGATTTGGAACAAGTCCACCCCAAAGCGGAAAGCTCTAAACCCCAGCACTCCGAAACCACATGGTACCCTTAAAGGAACCCTCAAAAGAACGCTATAGAACCCTCATGGTACCCGTAAAGGAACCCCATAAGGCTCAAAGCTCTGAATGCCCAAAGCACTCGAACAGCAGAGCTCCTTTTTACGTCCGGCGCTTAGCCGAGTTCTGGAAACCCGGGGGTGAGGCCACATACCCCCTTGAGGACATTTCATACCTACTTATCGAACGATCTACCTGAATCGCTCTATGCGTCATGGACCTGTCTATCTGGCGTACACTACAGTAAATCAGCCAGAATGCTGTAGATTAGATTTTGGAGCAGCAGGGAGTGACGTAAAACAGAATGGACCAGGATATTTGTCCATCGACCTATTTGTCTGCCTGTCTATTGGCATCTAACTATCTACCTCCGCATTTGTTCCACATAACAAGGCTATGTTCACACCAAGAATCACTCAGAAACCCTATTCTGACCATTAAGGCTGCAACATGAGGTGCATCAATCACTCCTGAAACCACATAACTAATGCTGTAAAGACTTTACAGACAGAAAGGTCTTGTGATTCAGGAGTCTACATGAGAGACTACTTCCAGGGTAACGTACATGTTTTTGGTTTTGTTGCCACATACCTTCATGCATACATACTTTCAAGCACACACACACACACATGCGAGTGTACATACAAACATACCAACATACATACATACATACACTCGCACATACATACGGACGGACAGACAGACAGACGGACAGACAGGCGGACAGACAGTCGGACAGACAGACAGACGGACGGACGGACGGACGGACGGACGGACGGACGGACGCAGGGACAGACGGACAGACCGACAGGCTGACAGACTGCTAGATAAATTGATCGCTAGATAGACACGTAGGTAGGCACAGGAAAGGCATTTAGGTAGATGTAGTTTTTCCATTCAGATATGTCTGGCCAATGCAGGGAATAGGGTTCTGGTCCGAATCGCTCAAAAAAGGTGCCGCAACAGTACAAGTACTAGGCATCATGTATGCAGATACTCATGCAATCGAAAATCTGTAAACCTTACGCGTTAAGACGAACTAGAAGGGGTTTGAGTGCAGCAGGCCCGAAATCCAGAACAAAGTGGTTGTGTCCCGTGGGCTTGCAAAAAAGCGGTGTCGCAACGTCCTTGTCGCAACGAACGCCGGTCAAACACCGAGCTGCAGCAGAGATACTTTGTGTCCTACCATGCGAATAATTCAAGAACGCCGAAGCTACTATACTGGCGCTGTAATAATTAATTGGGGTACACTATGGTATAGGTATAATAAGCAACGATAAGTAAAACTTGTCTTAATTCAGGCTTCCATTTTACATGGCCTGTTACGCCTCTAATCAATGCGGACCACGGATAACTGCACTAGGCCCTCCACCACAGCTACATTGGCCTGATTGTAGCATACAGTACCCACCCTAAACCCTTAAACCCTGAACTTTTCAATACAGGATCCGGGGCTTTTAATTAGGGCCCAACAACCCGATACTGCTATGTCCTATTTACACATTTTCCGCACGGCTCAAAAGTTCCTTGAGGTTGCACGCATCTCGAGGTCATTGTAGGTGTCGGAACATGGGTACCCCCACGAAATTTCTTCAGGTTTAGGGTTCAGGGTTTAGCCCGAAGTCTAGACTGACCAACTTTCTAAAGTGGCCCTACGTACACCCATCGAATCCCTGAACGAAGGCCTGCTTCATGTAGGTGGTTGTGAAAGTTATGGTCTCTTTTGGGGTCCCTAGTATAGTACGGCACCGAATACTCAGGGTACCCAAAACATGCGACCCTAATCTATACCCCCTTAGAACCATAATGAAAATATTATCTTTAATATTCTCTTGGGTTCTATATGAACAAAAAAATCCTAAGGAGACTATAGTAATTTTGACAACCGCCCATGTGGACTCCGAAAACCGGGCTGCTTATGTTGATGATATAAGTCCTGCATTACCTTAAGGGCCCTGTACTATGGGAATTATGGTATATTCCTTATTATGGGTGATGCAGGATTTATATCCCTAAACCCTATAAACCCTATAGAGCCCTTAAAGGAAGCCCTTAAAGGTACCCTTATAGATCCCTTTAAAGGAACCCTAGGATTTATATCATCAGCCGTTCAACCCATTAGGAGGAGACCTGCCCTTCGGGGTCAGGCTAAATGATTTGCCTACCCCCCTAAGGGGGGTAGGGGTTAGGGGGGTAGGGGACTAAAATTCCTTAAATAGGCCTTACTAGGTCATTATTATGGGCATTAAGGTTAATGAGCCTTCATTCATACCCTAAGGGTCCTAACAAATTGGGGAGCCTCAACATTGAGGGTTTCTGAGACCCCAAAGAGACCCAAGGACTCTCCCTAGGACATACCTGGACCCTTAGGGTAGAATGGTTCTATAAGGATTCCTAGAACGGTTGTACAGGGGTTCCAGAAGGGTTATACAGCATCAGGAGTTGCAGTCAAGACTAAGGTATGGGGTGAAGGGGCTTGGGGTTTAGGGTTTACGGGTTAGGGCTCAGGGTTTAGGTTCTAGGTGTTCAGGAAACTAGTATGTGGGTACCATGGACGTGTTCAACTATAGCTTCAGAGCCTTATCGTCAATTGAAACCGCAAACCCGTAAACCCCTAAGCTCTAAGATTTGAACCCCTTGAACCTAAACCCAAATCGCCAGACAGTTCGTAAGCTGGCGAAAGATGAACACGCCTCGTTCTCTGAGCTCTTCATGCAGGGACAGCTATTCTCATGAGCCGTCCGAACGGCATGGCATTAGGAGGCGGGCTTCTCAAGGCTTTCGGCACAGTTTTTGAGTTCAGGCTGCATTCTACGCCCTTTCTCCAGCAGTTGGTTTCGGGTTCAGGGTCCAGGGTTTAAACTTTAAAGGACTTTAGGGTGTGTTTTTTCGGACTGAGGTTTGGGGTTTCATGTTCATACTGCTCTGAGATGCCCGCCCAGTGGGACGGTGCATTCTGCCGCCTCCCACTGAGATAAACGATAAGAGCCCTCTGGGTCTAAACGCACATTAACCACCGTCTTTCGTAGGGTTTCGTACGGTGTTTATAATCTCAGTGTCTGCAAGGGTGTAGGGATGAATGAATATTCGAAGATAGGGGCGTGAATAATTAGAGCACGGTTTCGGCATATATTATACTGTAACTATAGTATGGAACCACCCAAAGCATGAGAAATCATGGAGGTACGTCACCGTCAGAGTTCCGTCCAGAACCTCGTCCCCACATCCGGAAACCTCATATTGTACCCCCTAAAAGGTTTAGGATTTAGGGCCAGTCTCACTGTTGGTCTCTCGGTGTGCGATTCTACTTTATGTCGAGGGTTCAAACCCAGTAGTATAGCTGCACTGCTTCTCCACCTCGCGCACTCCATGCTTGAGGGTTGTACTGCTGAGCCTGTACTCTCTATCCAGATCGCCTTCGATGCCAAAACTACAACAGGGAACTCATCATAGTATTCGTAATACTCATCTTCATAAGAACCAAAATCACAGCATCCATGCTATATGATACCAGCAGTAGTAAGCAGGAACACGCGACAAACCTGCAAACGACGGCACCAACGGCACCACCAAATAGCCGGAAAACCTAAACCGCTAAACCCTAAGCCCTAAACCCCTAAACCCGAAACCTCTAAACCCTAAACCCTAAAACCCTAAAACCCTGAGCCCTAGACCCTGGGCTCGGCGCCCTAAACCCTAGACCCGAAACCCTAGATCTTAAACACTGAACCCTGGACCCTGGGTTTACGCTCTAGATTTAGATTAGGTGCTGCCCCCATACAGTAAGAGTCTATAATAGGGCTACTATTAAGGTCCTAATATATCCAGATTATGAATATTATTCAACTATTACTGAGTGGGGGCCGTACCCAAGATGTAGATCTCAAGGCTGAATTGATTGCCCTTGCACTTCAACAACGGAGCATTCAAGCTGGTCCGGGAGTACTGTGTTGCTACATGGTGCCAACACGGAATATTGGGCTCCATAAGAAATAGTCTACCCACATAGCCCCTACAGCGTACTGAATACCAATATCCACAAATCCCATGCTATACCCCGAACCCTTCCCTAAGTCTTCAACTCCCTATATCCATCCATCCATCCATCCATGCATGCATACATGAATACAAACATGCAAATATACAAAAAATACATACATACATACATACCTACGTACATGCATACATACATACATACATACATACATACATACGGGTATACACGAGCAAGCAAGACCTCATGCTGTAGAACAATGATAGCAGCCTTTTTGGAAACCTGGTGAGAACCCTTGCGAAGCCCCTACGAAAATCCTCACGGGACCCTGGCAATCGCCCTTGTAGCGACGCTTTCAAAACCCTTTTCGAATTCCTCCCCTTCTAGTCACCGTTAAAAAACCTTATTCTAAACTTTCTAGTAACACCAAAACTTAAACTAGTAAAGCTATGGAGAAGCGCAGCAGCTTCGTGTGCTCCTTGGGAGCATTCCTCAGGCTTTACTGTGCGAAAACGCTGCCATGCATGAGCTCATGGACGCCCGAATTCTTAGTGTGGTCGGGTTTAGGGTTTAGGGTTTCGGACTTTGGGGTTTATTGCTAGCGGGTTGAGGGCTTAGGTCCTAGGTTTTCGGGATTTGGGGGCTGTGGGGCTTGGGGTTCTTGCTTGAACGTAGCTGCTTCAGCTTGGGTGCATTACCCCTAGTATGTGGTGGCAACCATAAGCTTGCCCATCGACAAGACACACACACACACACGTATGTACTTATGTAATTATGTATGTATGTACGTACATATGTATGTACATGTATGTATGTATGTATGTATGTGCGCATGTATGTATGTATGTATGTATGTATATGTAAGTATATATGTACGTTTGTATGTCTGTATGTATGTTTGCTTGTTCCTGCGCGTGGGTGGGCGTATGCAAACTTTTCTACATGTCAACCTGCTGCGAGAGTCCTTGAAACCATCTACCGACTAGGCCACAGGCCTGAACACTGATGGATGGCATGACTGGCATGAAGCACGTAGGGTTAACCCGCGACACACGCATAACACTAAACTCCCAAACACGTGAACACGTAATATAGGGGCCTAAATAATTTTCAATATTATTTGGGAGGGTTCCTTACTACAATTATGGTCTAATAGGCCCCAAAACCCTATTCTAAATCTTAAGGCGCCTATATGCTATGAAGGTCCCAGTGCCTGGATTGGATAGTCGCCAAATGCTGGCATCCTCGTCTCCTATAAGCCTACTGCATGCAGCATAAATCCTGCTGTCAGTCAGCGTGCCCCCGATTAATACCTCCCCTAGTAAGGACTCTGCCAAAATCCTGGGATAGGCTTGGCAGTATGTCATATATGGGGTTCTGAGCATCCTACTCAACCGAGTTATCCTGTTTATGAAGCAGGATTTACCCCGCCAGCACATGGCTCCAGATCAGGAAAACCCTGAGGTACGCTGGTGCGTTCTGGTCCAACACCACCAAACAATCCTAAACCACAAACCTTGACACTCTGAAACCTCTAAACCCTACCCTCACATCCCCAAGTTAAGCCCTCACACTCTAAAGCTACAGCCCAAAACTGTAGTCGAGTTTCGACGACTTACTTTGTCAGTTCACGAAGTTTCAGACTCCGTATCAGCTAGGCCTGGGCGGTGACAATGCCCTGACAATACGCAACATTACCACCTTTCATGATCGAAACAAGACCAAGGAAACCGAAGTGAGATAAACCCTGACCCTAAAGCTTAGACCCTAAGAGAGCTAAAAGGCTAAACGTCTAAACCTCCCGGACATTCGGACGAAGTTGGCGCACCCCAGAGAGATCCTTGCTGTACTCTACAGGGCTTGAACTGATCAAGCAGCGAAACCAGGAAGTCTGGCAAAGCCAATTTACCAAGCTCTCTCGCTCGGGCTAGGGCGCGTTTTATTAACCTACAAGCGCAGGCTACAGGCACAGCACTGAGCGGTCTGCTTGGGTTTGATCCTTGGCATGGCATGGACATGAACCTCCCTGCAGCCACTTCTGCGACGACTACGACTACGACTACGTCTACGCCTTGTACTGCTGCTGCTCCTACAACTCCTGCTGCTACTACTACTACTCCTACTTGCTACTTGCTACTTGCTACTTGCTACTTGCTACTTGCTACTTGCTACTGCTACTGCTACTGCTACTGCTACTGCTACTGCTACTGCTACTGCTACTCCTGCTGCTGCTGCTGCTGCTGCTGCTGCTGCTGCTGCTGCTGCTGCTGCTGCTACAGCTGCTAACACCTTTGTTCCTACCCCTTACCCCTACCGCTCCTCCAACTCCTACTTCCTCTCCTACAGCTACTCCTACTCCTACCCCTGCTACTGCTACTGCCACTCCTGGTCCTATCAGCAGCTGCTGCTTCTAGTATTCCTCCTGCTGATGCTGCTACTGCCATCTACTATCCACCCAACCTAAACCGCAGGAAGTGCTGCCCTCTCTGCATCGTGGAGCTCCAGCTGAGTGTTTTCCGGCCGGTGGCGACCTCAAGGCTTTTGTTTACGTATGGCTTAGTCTTTAGGCTAAAAGCTCTATGGCTTAGGGCTTTGAAACCCAATGGGCTTGCATTGTTGAGGCCTTGCCTAAAGCTACCACGGCTAATTTTTTTGGTAGGCTCGTCTTACCATCCCTAACATGTTATTTAATAATGAAGGAGCCTCGGGTGCAATGCTTTTGGTCGCTGAGCCCCAAACTTGAGGGTTTAGGCTTGCGCTGACATGGGCCGAGCGGTTTGATGCAGGCCTGTTCCCATTTTTGGATTAAGATGGTGTAGGGCCTTTAGGGTTTATATCCCCTAAACCCCCATGCAAACCATGAACCGTTTATAACTTATGTGTTGTTCAGGGTTTTACAGTCAAGCCGCAAGAGACAAGTCTTGGAGCAAGCCACCATGGTTTGTCAGGTCGGTGGAAGCTAGTTACCCTGGAAGACAACCCTCGAGCTCAACCTATATTCTAGAGGGAAGCAAAATGGCCCCTTGCCATGGACTCCGTTTTGAAACTTGTAATATTCTGTTGTCTCTGATATTATACTACATCATATGGTTCAATACTGCATTATACTATAACACACTATAGTATATTGTGTAAACACACACAATATATGTGTATATATATATATGTATATATATATGTATATATATGTATGTATATATATATATGTATACAAGAACTAGGAGGAAGCCCCAAACAAAAACAAAGGATCCCAAAGAGTCGAGACTAAACCTCGCAGGGCCGAACTCTAAATCCTAAAATCACCCAAACACCCAACCCATACAGCCACCCTTGAAGGAGCCCTTAAAGACACCCTTAAAGGGACCTTTGTAGCAACCCTGAAAGGAACCCTGAAAGAAACCCTTAAAGGAACCCTTATTAGAGACCCTTAAAGGAACCTTTAACCGAATCCTTCAAAGGAAACCTTCAATTCGTCAGTACAGGGTTCCTCAAAGGAGCCCTTAAAGGGAACCCACTTATAGAACGAACCCCAAATTAACTCTAAACCCTAAACACCCGTAAACCTAATATGGAATAAGAAGAAGAGGGTTTGGGGGCCTATTATCCTCTAACTATAATAGGGAACCCCCAAAATAGTATAGGTAGTTATGAAGGCACCTAAACCTAAACCCTAAACCCTACACCCTAAACCTATTAACTCTGAAAGGATAGGTAATTGTTACGGCCCCTTTAATAACCCCTAAACCCTAAACACCCTAGTAACCCTAAACCCTAGTAACTCCGAATGGAAATCCTTGATGCATCCCCCGGCCTCGAGCCTTCTTCCCCGGCCTAGGCACGTAGCTTGAACTTCGCTTTTTTGCTGATAGGCTTAGGGTTCCTTTAAGGGGTTCTTTTAAGGACGACTATTCGGGATCTATAAGGGTGCCTTAAGGGGTTGAGGGGTTGAGGGATGAGGATTTAGGGCTTTCAGGCGTTCGGTTTTTTTTTTTAAGTGTAGTTTGGGTTTAGGATTTAGGGTCCTACACACGGGACTCGATAAAGATCCGATGAGGCTCGCGAGAAGGGTACGGGGTTTACGGCTTACAAGGTGTAGGCTTTACGGGCTTACAGGGTTTGTAGGGCTTCTTGGGTTCATAGGGTGATAGGTTGCGGCTGGGCTTGGGGCTGGGGCTTTCAGAATTAGAACTGGGTCTTGGGTGGTATATCGCGTCGTGACCAATGGTGACGAGGATTCAATGGTGGCGAATGCGACGAGTGTGAAAGTGAAGGTGCAGCAACGATTTGACGATGTTGGCGATGGGCTTACTGTCGGTGAGGGTAGTCGCAACAAAGATGATTATTTTCATGACGTCATTGTTTATGCCTCTTGTCGTCGTCATGCTTCCTCTCAGTCCTGGCATTCGAAAACCCAACATCGTACATATCCTCCCCTATTTAAACTTTGTCCATCGTCATTGTCATTGCTGTTGAGACTCATCAGCAGTATGATAGTCATCGTCGTCTTATTGCGCATCGTCGTCTTCCTGCTTGTCGCCATTGCCATCATCATCGCTACGTCATGGCTATGATTGAAAGACCTGGCTTCCTATGCTGCCGATACACTTGCTACTGCGGAACTAAGCTGGGTTTGGGGTTTAGGGCATGGTTGTGCTTAATGGTAATTTGTACAGAAGCGGGGCTTCTGGATCATATTCGGGAGAAGCCAGAGAAAATTGCAAACAACAGAGATAATCACAGTGTCGAGAACAAACAAAAACGGAATGTACACGACCTGAACCTTTGAAATTTGAGGTTCTGGGATGTTTATATTGTGAAACCGTCGTAACACGGAAAACCCAAGGAACAAGATTATACGGCAATTATTCCCTACACCCCCGAGCCTCGAGATGCCCAACCCTTAACCCCAACACTAACGTAGCTACGGGCCTTTCTTGCCTGTTTAGATAGGGTTAAGGTCTTAAAGCTGTATAAAGCATGTAAGGTGTACAGGGTGTCGGGATTGGAGTTTAGGGTTGATCGTCCAGGGCATGCATGAAGGCATACTTTTGAGTTACTTATTGGAGGCCAAAAGGGTGGTTTAAGATTCTTGGGTTAGTGAGTCCTTAATATGAACCCAATTATGGGAACCCCAATGCCTACTAAACACCCATGGGCTAAAACCCCTTTTGGCCTCCTATGAGTTACTAGTAAATACTTCGGCGCGGCATTCATGGTGCAGACTACACGGCCGCAAATGACAAAACGATGGATCGCGATCCTAAAGCGAACACAGGCTGAGTAGCAGCAGCAACAACGATCATGATCAACACAGATGTAGTGCAAGCCGTCACAAAAAATATAAACACAGCAGGCTTAACCCTCGACTCTATTCAGCGGATCTCCTAAACTCGAAACCAATTTCTGAACCCTTGCACGTAATAAGTCCCTTAACCCTCAACCTCAAGCTAATATGTAAACCCACTACTACCCCTAAACCCTGTACGGCCCTGAGCGAAAAAACGGTTAGACAAAACCGTCACAACCCTTAGAGAAACGCTTATTCATCCTTCATACCGTTGAAACCTTAAACCCGAAGCTCTAAACCCCGAAGCTCACACGAGGCCGGAACGTGGGTCCGGCACAAACGGCAACCTAATCGGCGCTGACACAGTCTTAGGATTTGTCAGGGGGTTGTCGTGCTAAAGGGTTGGGATACACAGGGACTTCATGACTATTGGGGTTTGGGGTTGAGGGTTCGTAGGTCTGTGTTCACCGCGCAGCATTTTATAGGCTTCCAGGCAGAGGGTTTCATGAATGTTTGGACCAGAGTGTTGGGACTTCATCGGTTCTACTATCATTGCATGTATCGTATATCCGGAAACCCCAAGCAATGCTAATCCCCGCTGATTAGAATCCAGTGACTGCTGTGGTCTTAAAATGCTGATTTCTGGGTTCTGGCCGTCTCTGCTTGCTTGTGCCCCGTGCCAAACCCGCCGCTCCACACACGCTAACTGCAAATGCCATTCGGGACCCCATGCTGAAATTGGGAGTTGCCAAAACGTCCCGGCTGCGCATCCGTTGTCTCTACAGTGAGTGTGTAAGAGCTTCCCTCCAGTTTAGGATGCGGCTGCATGCATTGAGTCTGTGTAGCAACGACCCAACTGTTCCAGCAGACTTGGTCCAGCAATTCAATATATGTTTGCTCTGACTCCCAATAGCCCACCCAGAATGAGCTGGAGCAACCTGTTGATGCTGTTAGCTCATGCCGTGTAAATTGGGCACTTGCTTGAGGGGTGACTCAAACAATTGCGCAGGAAACCTCAACATGTGCCAGCGGACATGAACCCAGAAAGCAGATAGCAGATATGTAGCCTCTTCGGAGACCATACCGTCGCTCAGCAAAGGAGGTGCTTGATTGATCATTGCATCGATCTGCCCAGGGCTCTCTTTAGCTGCATCTCGACACATGCGTGCCAACAAATCGACCAGTCTTGCCTCTGGAAATGCTGCTTCATGTTGCTGGGCCCTCGGGAGTGTCTGCCCAATGACGCTGTTCACCCAGATCCGTTTATCGAGGGCAGGTTTCGGGGCTGCAGAAACCCTAACCCTAAACTCGAATAAACCCTAAACAGAGTAACTGTCTTTCTAACGATTTGGGCTTTCGGGGGACCCCAATATAGTACCCGAAATAGCAGGATCCTTATTATAAGGACCCCAAAATAAGGTACCCCTAACTTTCGGAAACTCTAAACCCTTAAAGGAACCCTTATAGTACCCTTATAGTAACCCTTTAAAGGAACCCTAAGGTACCCCTAATTTTCGGAAACTCCCATATTTGGGCTTTCGGGGGCCAATTTACCAAGGCCCCGGGGCTGGGGCAACTCGCGCCGCTACGGGCGGAGGATCTTAGGGTTTAGGGTTTAGGGTTGAGGGTTTAGGGTTTAGGGTGGAGGGTTTAGGGTTTAGGGGTTTAGGGTTCAGGGTGAGGGTTTAGGGTTTAGGGTTGAGGGTTGAGGGTTTAGGGTTTAGGGTTGAGGGTTGAGGGTTTAGGGTTTAGGGTTTAGGGTTGAGGGTTTAGGGTTTAGGGTTCAGGGTTCAGGGTTTAGGGTTGAGGGTTTAGGGGTTTAGGGTTCAGGGATTAGGGTTTAGGGGCCATCAGACGCTCCCGCCGATTGCCGATCGGCAACATTATAACCCAACATGAATGCGAAACAAGCAGTATTGACAATAGACGAAAAGGGTAACGACGAAAGTAGGATATCAAAAATAGCAGTAGCAAAGCCCCTAGCACCGATGAACAGGAATCAGCATAGTAGGGCAAACCCTGAACCCTAACAAGTTAGCAGGGTACGGGTGATTCCGTGAAGGTGTTGACTTATTACTCTGGTCTGATCGGAGCAGCTGTGGAGCTTTCAAACCCGAAATTCAAGTGCAAAGACCCAGATCTGTTCATGTGTTTTTTTAATCGACCCTTTTCCTCTTTTCATGTTTAGGATTTAGGGGTGCCGGCCTTAGAGTTGAGGGGCAGGGGTAAGCCCCCTCAGCCTCCAGGTATCCGCGGTGGCCAGCGTGAAAAGGGTTTAAGCTCGTTTCGTGGCGCTGGCGTCTTAGATCAGCCATAGTGACAATCACAATTGTAAGACCCTGAACCCTACAATCCTAAACTCTCAAATCCCAAACTCTTAAACCCTAAACCCCGAATGGCAACCCTCAGTAGCACCGCCTAAGACTAACCCTTGTTAGTAGATGCACTCGAAAACCCTCAAGCCCTAAACAATTGTGCGAATTCCGCATAATAACGACAATCAGAACCCGAAAATCTAAACCCTAAAACCGTCAACCCCGAATCCCTCAAACCCAAATATTGCCCGTCTTCGTAACACTTGAAGCCCTCAGACCCTGAAACCTAAAACCCTAGACCATATAAACCCCTGAAGCCTAAACCCCTAAAGGTTACACCCGTAAACCTTGGGTACTGCCCCCATACAGTAGCAGTCTATAATAGGGCTACTATTAACTATATTCTGAATATTTTCCAACTGTTACTGAGTGGGGGCAGTACCCAACGTAGACCCTGAACAAGTCTGAGAGTTCCTTCCGAGGGCGTGGCTGCCGACAGAGTGCCCGTTTGCCCGAGGGCGCTCGCTTCCAACTGGCAAACACGGAGTGTAACGGTTGATGGTATAAATCCTGCATTACTCATAATAAGGAATCTACCATAATTCCCATAGTTCAGGGCTGTTAAGGTAATGCAGGATTTATATTATCAACAGAAGTATGGGGTAGGTAGGAGATTGAGAGGGAGGGAGGCGGTTTGGGAGGTCTTGTATTGGATTAGGTTTGGGTTGGGGGTTCGGGGCTCTATGGGTTTAGGGAATTGAGCTTAGGACGTAGAGCTTCTTGTAGCTTGCACTTTACGAACACTAGGTCGGCGCAGAGTGGACCGGGGTCCTTGGCAGATGTGGGGGCGATCGGTGCTGTTTGTTGCCTGCAAAGGGTTTGTCTTTGACGGAAGTACTGCTGGGCGCCCACACCCGTAGTCTGTTGCACGCTGACTGTACATGTCAAACAACCAACAACATCTTGAATCCTCAACGCCGAAACCCTCTCACACACTGGCCCTGTGCCCTCTGTAACTAAACCCGAAGACTCCAAAACAAACCTCCCAACCGCCAAAGAACTTCAATCCGAAAACCATTCTCGCCCACCGGCAACCCAAGCCCTAGGAAGATCCCATGAAACCTGGAGGCCCCTGATCCCTACAACCCCCAAAAACCCTAAACCCATAAAGCCCTAAGCCCTAAACCCATCAAAACAGAACACTAAACCCCAGTAACCCCCAAAACCCTAAATCTTAAACCCATAAATCCACAAGCCTTAGACCCACAAGAGCAGAAAACACTGGGTTCCTGTTAAGGTTAAGGAAGATGAGTTACCATACTAGGGATCTATAGTAAGCAAAAAAGGCTTCTTTGCTCTGGTATCATATTACATCCCTTGACAAGAACTCTCAACCCACAAAAGCCCAAACACCCCTTAAAGGAAGCCTAAAACCCCTAAACCCCCAAAGAACCCACAAAGGCCCAAATACCCCTTAAAGGAACCTTAAAACCCCTTAAAACCCCCAAAGAACCCCTAAAAAAGCCTCCAGGATCTTCTTGCAGGAGCCATCCTCGGAGCCTGAGGGCTGGGGAAACTCTCATGGCAGCTCCTCGGGTTGAGGCTTTAGGGGTTATAGAGGTTTAGGGGATGAGGGGTTTGGCGTTTAGGGGTTTAGGGGCTTATTTGGGGTTTAAAGTTTAGGGGTTTAGGGGTTGAGGGGTTTGTTTGGGGTTTTATCTGGGGTTTAGGGATGAGGGGTTTAAGGGTATTGCACTTGTTAAGACTGCAAGATGGCTTAGGGTTCAAGGCTGTGCGGATATGCGACCTGTCCACCATGCTCCTCCCGAACTTGACATTCGTCGTTTTCACGGCTGTGCCTCCGGGAAGGACGGAATCCCCCACATTAGCTCCGTCCAGCGGGTACCTGACATCAGCGAGGCTGCAAGCGACTTCGTCAGCCCACTCCGCAAGAGCCAGTTGAATTCTGTAGTCAGCGGTGGTGGGAATGGCGATCTTTGCAAGTGGCGCCCCGGCCACTGGAACACGGCCAAGATAAGCAATCTCAGCGGAGAAAGAGGACGGCCCGATTCTTCGCCCGCAGTTGCTTCAGAGTGCTGGCCCTGCCAGCCTCTGTCGCCACAGACAAAGCATCTAAAACCATACGAACCCCATCTTCATAGCGATCAAGGTTGCGACGCACTGCCTCTTCAAAGGCAAGGTCTGCAGACGCAGCGGCCTCCTTTTCCTTGGCGGCGTTGTTTCGCTGACTTCATCGTCTGGTCTCCACTCGGAGGGTCATTGGACTTAGTAAGTATGGTTATAAGAACCTTAAGAGGGGTTATAAGCATTTCTAAGTACAGTGCACAAGTTACCTTAACTTATAACCCTAGTTACTAAGTCCCATGATCCTGTAAGCTTGATTCGAAGTATGACCGCTATGATGGCAACTGTTCTGTTCCCCAAACCCAAACCTTGCGCAACTGCTGCCATTCTGCATATTATGCCCCTGCTGCTAGCAATGCTACTGACACTGATACTAATACTCCACCGCTGTCACTGCCACAGCCACGCCAGTGCGACTACTACTGCGACTACTGCTGCTGCTGCTCCTACGCCTGCGACCCTCCTGCTGCTGCTTCTGGTGGCTGCGACTATTTTATGAACGTAAAAACCATCTGGCCGTATGGCGATATGACAACATCATGACGATGATGGCGACGACGAGACGGTGACGACGACCGCTACCACTCTACTACGACTGTTCCCATTTGTACTGCTACTACTGCACGACGACTGCCGCCACTGCTTCCAAGACTTATGCCAGCCTACTGCTGCCACTGTCCTCTTGCTGGTACTGTACCCATGTATCCACTATGAAAGCTGATGTATATGTATGTATGTATGTATAAATATATATATATATATAAATATATATATATATATATATATACTTATTATATTGTATTATAATAGGTTAATTACACATACATCTTGCTTTCGCTTCAAGCAGCACTCTTTCTGGAAGCTTTTCCTTACAGTGCCCTCTATGGGGGCCCTTTAAAATGAACTCTTACAGCACCCACTGAACTCCTCAAGCCCTACAGATCCCTCAAAGCCCTAGACAACCATACTGTATGTAGATCCCCTGAAAGGAACCCCAAACCCTAAACCCTTAAAGGAACCCTAAACCCCCATTTTAGATCCCGCTAAGGGAACCCTAAACCCTTCTTATAGATCCCTTTACAGGAACCCGAAACCCTTCTTATAGATCCCTTTGGAAGAACCCTCAGCCCTGCAGCCCTCCCCCAAGCCGGGCTCCGCGGCCAAAGACTTGCAGTACGCCAACCTCGCCCCCGCAGATCAGGAGCTTCGAGGCCTCGGGCATCCGCGGCTGAACCAAGTAACTACCGGCCTTTGGGGCTTATGTAAGGGGGCTTCCTTTGAGGGTTCCTCTAAGGACTACTATCAAGGATCTATAAGGGTACTATTGGGGCTTTAGGGCTTTAGATTTAGTTTTTGAATGGGGAGGGGGGTAAGGGTTTAAGGGGTTTAGGGTTTTTGTTTGGCTTAAGGGGTTTAGGGCCAAGTTTAGGGTTTACGTGTTTGGGTTGAGGGTCTTAGGGGTTTTGGACCAGAACCATAATAAGCTAGGCTGCCCTAGGGAATAAACATAACATTAATGACTCCGGCCGACCCCTAGATCAAGCACTCACTTTTAAGGCCCTTGCGTTTATGTTCGCAATAAACGTGATAAGTAACCCTCAAGAATAGGTAATCCTATTAGTTACGCCAACCTCCATGTTACATAGAAAAATCTGAAAAGAACCTGTTTGCTTAGCCACACCCCTTTGGTGATGTCCTAAACACCCAACAAACCCTAGACTAAGTCCTAGACTCCATATTAGTAATTTCCCCAAATCCCTATATAAACTCTGAACACTTGGGCTAAACCAAAACTCTCTGTCCCTAAACCCTACATCCCCACCGAACCCTACACAGCTGACTAAACCCTAAACCCCCACGAACCCTAAACACGTCTGGACTACACCCTAATCCCTACCCCAAGGGTCCAAAGGACCCAATAATAAGGTACTTGGGTTTAGGATGGTAGTTGTGTAGATTATATTTGGGAGAGTATATGATTACTATTATTAGTGACTTAACTCTATAGGGCGACTAATGTAGAAACCTGATGATACAGAAACCCTGGTCCAAAAACAACAAAATAGGAAGCTTCATATAAGGAACCCCAATACAGCCCGAAGGTGTCTTAATCTGGCTCCTACATGACACCCTAACCCCTAAACCACAGCATAAAACACCCTAAACCCTAAACCCTAAATCCTAAACCCCAAACTCCTCAACCCCTATAAACCCTAAAACCCAAACGCCTTTCAGGATATTTTTGCGCTCCTTTTTCCTAAAGTCCCACGCTTGAGGGTTTAGGGTTCCTAAACCACATCTCCAGAATAGTAGGGTTCATATATTATGCCCAATAAAGGCCCAAGATTTCTTAAACAGGTTCCTAGAATACACCCCAAACCCTAAACCACAGTGGACTCCACCCTAAACCCCTAAATCCCCAAATCCCTCAACCCCTAAATCCCTAAACCCCTAAACCCTTAAACCCTTAAACCCCTAAACCCCTAAACCCCTAAACCCTAAACCCCTAAAACCCTAAAACCCTGAAACCCTGAGTCCTAAACCCCAATTCTAGGGTTCCTAAGGTTGATGATATAAATCCTGCATGACCCATAATCAAGAATATGCCATAATTCCCATAGTTTAGGGCCCTATCATCAACAGTAAGCCACATTTCCAGGAAGTTCCAGGGCTCCAGCAGGCGAAAAGCCCATGCACCGGATCGAGCCAGCCATGTCGCACTGGCCGGCGGGTTTTTTTCAGGAATTTTCGGACATTTCTTACGGTTTTGAGGAGTTTCGGGCATTTCTTAAGGGTTTGTTACGGAAGTTTCGGGCATTTCTTAAGGGTTTGTTACGGTGTGTCGGGCATTTCTTAAGGGCTTTACGGGGTTTCGGACATTTCTTGAGGGTTTTTCAGAGACTCCAATATCCCTTAATTTAGGAGTAGTCCTTAACTCATATTAGGGATCCTACAATAATTTGAGGAATATTCCTGCATTAAGGGGAATCTCTGGATTTAAGGGTTTGTGGGCTTCAGGGTTCAGGGTTTTAGGGCCTGGGTTTGTATGGGTTTATAGGGGGAATTAGGGAGTTTTGCCGGTGCCTTTAAGGAGTTAGCGGTTTCGGGAGAAAGGATTAGGGTTCAACGGGGGGGGGTTCTGAGTTTTCAGGCTCCTTGAAGGGAACAGAGCTGCGAGAATAATTGTACGGGCTTCTACAGGGGTTACGATAAGGGTTACCATGTGTAGCCGAAAAGACCGGTCTCTTTAGAGTTCCTTATTATGGGCTTTATATAGAGAGGGGACTGTTGCGGCGTGGGAAGATAAGGACAACATCAGCATTTTTTACCTCTTCGTTGCTACCTGTGATGCAGCAGAACAAGCATGCTTTGCTTCGAGCGGTCTCTGTGGCAACACACGTGACATGGAAAACTACGTTTACGCATATGTGCAGAACACCCAAAACGAAGCGACATATGCTCATGAGGCTTGTATTAGGACAAATTCTCATACAGATGCTCAAGGCTTTTCTCTTTGAGAACGGCCTTCATGTCATTTCAATTGTCACCGTTGTTTTTGTGATTGTAATATGTATCACTTCTTTAACGTAATTGTTGCAATCAGTCTTATTGCCGTTATGGTATTGTTAACACGGTTGTTACTATAACAATATGAAGGTTCCATGCGGGAAGCCCCCCCTGCGAAAACACACATCACGAATAATGGCGTCGTAATGCCACATAGTATTTTGATGAAGCTGCTTCGCGCGATGAGGCAGGAGCCGTTCCTAAAGCCGTTATTTCCTTCAATTCTTGCCTGCCGGATAGTCAACACTGCTTTCTACGCCCCGGAAAAGGCCGACGTCATTCGTGTACTCGCGCGTCAGTATACCTAAGGAAGAAAACCAAGAAAGCCAAAAAGAACAAAGAATCCGAAAACCAAAAACACCAAACACCAAAAAACAACAAGTCTCCAAGAGACCAGTCCACCAGAGTTTTGTGTGTTGTTTCTTGTTTGGTTTTTTGTTTGTTTTTTTTGGGGCTCGGCTGACGGGCGCGTACCTGTGCAGGAGCGAAAAAACAAAAAAAACAAAGACACCAAAAACACAAAAAAAAACAAGGAAACCAACAACCAAAAAAAACAAAAGAACCAACCCCATACCTCCGGAGCCGCCCGGTGACATGGGGTCGGTTCTTTTGTTCTTTTTTGGTTTTTGTTTTTTTTGTTTTTTTTGGTTTAATTGATTTTTTTTGTTTCTTTGGTTTTTTTGTTTTTTTTTGATAGTTTTGTTTTTTTTTTGGTTTTTTAGGTTTCTGGGCTTACTCCAGGACGCAGCAGTGCTTATCACTTCTTGCTTTGCTGATTGTACAGAACGGAAGACTTCGCTTTAGAACAAGGGCTTTGCTTTAAAACCTGCGTGGTGCAGTTAAACTTTATTCAGATGGGACTGTTGTGGCTGGTATTGCTACTCTTGAACCTGCAAAAACTGCTTATGTATACACGCCACAACAATCCTTTCTGTTTATATATAGCTCCTTAAAAAAGGTAGGTCTTTTCGGCTACAGGTAGGGTATTACAGGGGGTGTTGGACTTAAGGCTTCCAGGGCATACAATCTCAGGGCTCCTTCTCTTAAAAAAGTATAGTAGACCGAAAACCTTATCAAGGTCCCTACATTGAACATGAGACCGGAGAGGCGAGGAAAGCCGTAGCATTGTCAGTTCATGAGGGTAGTGCTCTAAATAGGGGTTTCCATGTAGGTCCCGAAAATAGAACGGCACCCTTGTAAAAGGGACCCTAAGAGGAACGAACTACCCATGTAGGGCCGGCAGGATACGAACAGGGCTTAGAGCTTTTCAGTCGTGTAATATATAACACGTACGGACTACAACGGCGCGATGCTACCAGTTCTTCAGACCTCCATATGGGTGGTTGTCAAAATTAGGGTCCTTTTTGGCCATTATTCTAATACGGCACTCATTATTAAGGGTACCCAAAAGGAACCATAATTTTGACAACCACCCATATGAGGTTCGGTTCGGAGCTCACGAACCGAAGACGCCAAACCCAACACAAAATGCATGGAAACGATGCCAAGGGAAGAAGAATAAACCTCAACGAGAATTGCAGAGAAGAGCAAGCACACTACTGAGAGTCTTGTTCTTCTTTGCCCCTCCTTGTCTGAGGGAGAGAACGAAGAGGATTTCTCGAAGCCCACACAACCTTGGACCCTAAACCCTACTTATATAAACCCTACCTTAACCTACAGAACCTACTGTTTTGTAGGGTCCCTATAAATCCCACATTAGGGTTTATAGTGAGAACCCACAAAAAAGTAGGGTTTAGCAGGTCTAGGTAGGCCCTAAGCCCCCCCCCCTTCAAAAACAACAAGCTTGGAGCCTGCACTTTGCTTGCGCAGCTGCGTGTGTCCGCGCTGTACAGCCTAGGGTTTGTGATGGCTCGGGCTTTAGGGTTTGGGGGTTCCTGTAATTAAGGGGAACTCAAGAAATCAACAGTTAAGAGGGTTTGGGGTCTCCGGGTCGGATGCGTGGACTGTCGGCAGAGCCTTCAATTCTTGAATGATTCGCGTGAACGTTTGAGAGAAGGACACCTTGTACTGCACATTTCTACTATGGCAGACTAAACTACGTTGCGTAACAACAGCTGAGTTTCACGTGGGACTTTAGCGACACCCCGAGAAGGACCCCCGGCACCGTCTTCGGTATCTCATCAGAGAAATGAGCCTTCTAAGGCTCCCACAGGCAGTCACCATTGGCACAGCCAACGGCCAAGCTGACACCGTCACGAGAGAACCTCACAGGAAAAGCAACTGAACAGAAATGCTGGCATTCGCTATCCTTTACCTTTCAGTGCATGAAGATTATGATGTTCCAACTTCCTGGATTCTGAGATTCTAGCATAGTAGCAGCAGCCGTAGCGATCGTAGCGCTAGGACAGGAACAAACTGGTGCAAAAAGAAAAAACGCCCACAAAAACGCTAATTAAACCCAAAACCCTAGACCCTTAAATCCCTAAACACGAACCGCCTAAACCCAAAACCCTGAACCCCTAAACCCTAAGCTCTAAACCCTTACAAAACGAAAAACATCGCTGAGATCCGGTCCCCAATGTTTTCACCAACGCATGAGCTCTGGGCAGCTCCCACACCTTGGCAGCGAACTAACGGGGCGGAAGGGTTCGTTAAGAGTGTATAGGTTTTTTTTTTTAAGATGCAGTGTATAGGGTTTAGGCTTTAGGCTTTATTGACTGATTTATGTAGGGTATTTCAGGGTAATATAGGCTACTATAGGGTACTATATAGGGTATTAAAAGGGCTCTTTTCAGGCTTACGTGAAGGGTACTATAGGGGTAACTATACATTTAGGGTTCAGGGTCTCAATTAGGGTTTAGGGTTTACGGGCGTGAGATGAGTGGCTGGGGTTTGGGGAATAAGATTGCAGGGTTTGAAGCTTGCAGGGTAATAGAGTTTCACCTTTTCGACTCTAAGCCATAAATGGTAATAAGCAGAGCTATAAGTTCCCTAAAAGGGATCCTAAATTGCGGTGTGATGGCAACTATAACTCTATAAAATATGTCACATTGCAGTCTCTGGCTTCAGGGTTTAAGGTTCCTCCTACTTGCGATTCCCAGATTGCGGGCGCAGGGTTTCAAGATTAGGGCCGTTGTTTGGTTCTCACAGCTCAGCGTCGCTAAACCGAAGATTTAAACCCCGATCCCTGCCCCAAAGGGTCCAGGCATCATTAGTGTCTATACCTATACTGATAGGGTATTTTGGGGGTCTAAGTATATACCATAATGATACTTGGACCCTTTGGGTACGAAATCCTCAAAAGCTCCGGGATTTAGGATTCTTCGGGCGCTCTTAGGATTTGAGAACTCGGCCTTCTAGGGATGTGCTTGAGGCTCAGTTTTCGACTATTACTATTCGCAATATGATTACTATGTTTACCATTACTGTTTTATGGTTATTATTATTGCAATTATGTTACTACTATCCGTACTATTTTTGTTATTATTACTATGTTGACTATTATTCCTATTTCTCCTGTTATCGGCTTCAATCCTCGAATGAAGGGTCGCGCGTTGGGGTCGCCAGCAGCCCTGTCCTTAGGCTGCCTTCGGACGCGGCCTCTATGATTATGCTGATGATGACGATTCTTACTACTACTGTTACTATCCCAGAGGGTCCAAGTACCCAAATAGTAGGGTTGTAGGTCCCCAAATCCATACTCTGAATGGCTTTTGGACCATGAAACCCTACTAACTACTCTTTGGGTACTTGGACCCTTAGGGTATAACTACTCATGATGAGCGGGAGTTGGGAATGACCGGAAGCCGCTCTATCCAATCCTGCTGTCGCATTTTCCGGCACTCGAATGAGTGTGGCGAGCTCTGTGTTTAGGGTTGAGGGCCGCCGTTGACCCGTGCCGCACCACGACCTCCACTTCGCGACCCGAGTCAGCTGGGCTTGAACAGCTTCCAGATTGTCGTTCGCACCTGTTTTACGTCCTAGTAGACCACGCGATCCAACATGACGGCACTTGTCTCTACCGGTAGCGTCCGTTTGGACTGGGAGTCCGAACTTTAGAACAACGCCAAGAAGATAATAATAATATCTGCATAACAGGAGCAATAAAATGCCGACAACAATAACAATCACAGCAATAACCATAAAAAGTATGCCTGTTAGCATAAATAACAACAAGAACAACACTGAGCATCATGAGAACCATAGTCATACTTCACACGATCAATAGTGTCTCGAGCTGCAGAGTCCTAAACTACCCAAGCCGACTGCATCACACACACTTTAAACCAAGTACGTCAGCCCTAAACCCTAGCGGTTTAGGATTTAGGGTTTAGGAAAGTTAGGGTTTAGGGCATAGGGAATTTAGGGTTTAGGGAAACATCTGAAGCCCCGAAGAAGCTTCTCGTCTGCAAACCCCGAAAGACAGACCCCAAGTCCCGAAAGCCATCATCCCAAATCCCAAACCATCACGGCAAAATTTCGCTTTAGGATTTCGAAGGCAGACGGCTGGACTCACGATATTCGACTGAGGGAGCCTATAATTTAGGTGAGATTTTACCGCGCCCTTAAGATCATAAAGCGCCGGATATATGTGTAAAGCCTAAACCCCCAAACCCTAAACCCTACACCCCTGAAACCCCTGAGCCCCAAACCCCTTAAACCTCTCAACCCCGAGCCCCAACCCGCTTGAACCCCTACACCCCTGAAACCCCCAAGCCCAAAACCCCTTAAACCCCTCAGCCCTCATGAGGCCGTGGCCAGGCGTCCAGAAACCACGGACCAGGCATGAACCTCCCCATTGTCGCAACCTGGGGCGGACGGTTTTTTCGGGGGCTGCTCTCGGCTTATGGTTTAGGGTTTACTCTTACAGAGTGTCGATAAATGGTTCTTACATAGGTTCTGTTTCACTCTTATTCTTTCAAGTCATTTATGGGGTTTAGGCTTTGGCGGTTTAGGGCTTAACGCTAAGAGCCAAAAGACCGCCAGCCCTGCCGCGGGGCTTGGATTCGGGCCCTGGGGTTTGGGAGTTCGAGGCCAAGGGCTTGAGGAGGGTGTTGTCATTTTTGCGCCCAGGAACAATAGAAGATGCTGGGTACCCAGAAAGCCCAATACCCCTTAATTAAGGAATATATGGCTTAAATTATATAGGGCTTCATACTATGATTTAAGCTATATTCCTTAATTAAGGGGTATGGGGCTCTCTGGGTACCCTAGTTCGGGCATTTCGGTGGGATGCTCTCAGAAGATCCTGGGTAGCCAGTTCGGGCTTTGCGGCTACATTCGTAATAAGCCCGAAGCGGTGTGTTGTTAGAGACGTCGCTAGAGGGTTTGGGCTTGGGGATTAATTACACCCCAATGCAGGAACCTCATTCAGAAACCTTGCGCCTTTATTAGGGTTCCTTATATGATCCCTACTATTTTGGGCTTATTTGGCCCAGAGTTTCTTAATCAGGTTCCTACATTACCCTTAAAGATCCTTCATAGTACCCTTATAGACCCTTATCGTAACCCTTATAGGCCCCTGTAAAGGTTTCTTAATCAGGTTCCTACATTACCAGAGCATGTCAGACTCGTCCAGGGATCTTCGCGTCTGGGATTTCAGCTATGATGCCCTCTCGGCCGTGAAGGGTCGAGACATATCTCTTAGGGTTTAGGGTCTAGGGTAGACATAGACCGACCGGCACATGGCGAAGAGACACATGCTTTAATGGGGAGAGACTCTCTTCCCCCCTCTGTTGTTGACTGACATTCCTCTAAGTTGTGTGTAATTAATTCCTTATTGCTGCTATGAACTCTCTGTTGCTGTTTGGCACCTGTCTCCATTGTGTGGTACACGACCCCCTGGTGGTGGACCTCACAGAGACACTGCGGATAGGCTTTCGTCCGCACTCCGCGTTCAGCGAGTGCTGGCAAACCCAAACCAGGCTTTGCACGACACTCAGAAGGGCGGCTTCTGAAACCCGGGTAGTTCGTCTTCCCGCTCATTCAGCACAGGTTGGCCTAGGTGGCATCCAGCAGAGCCTTTGCCATGATCGGATGCAACAGGGGCCCGATCAGCAGGCCCTGAAATACGCGGCCACCACCTTCCTGCCCTTGCGATACCACCACGCCGGAGTCGGAGTCCAAGAAATCACGCCGGCGAGTCCGAGTGCGGTCACAAGGAACGGCGGCTGCTCGTCCTCGGCTGGCATGCGCAAGCATGATGGAAGCGCACACATGAAGGCGACAGGGCGGTCCAACGCCGACGCTGTCCCGCTTTACACCACCTCTGGAGCTACGTGCTTGATGGGCCTGCACCCACATACTGTAAGAGATGGGCATCTTGCCTCTTTATCAGGCTGCCCAAAAGCCTTCTTTGGCTTTTGGGACTTCCCGAAAAGAGGGGACCTAATATAGTACCCTAAATAGTAGGATCCTTATTATAAAGACCCCCCAAAATAGGTACCCCTAGTTTTCGGAGTCCCATATAGAAATATGCGAGATCCGGGGGGATCTTTCGAGGAGTTTCCACCAAAAGCCGGGCTGGGGCTGCTTGGCTCGCGGTACGAGGACTTTTGGGATCTGACCCTATGCCTCCAGGGACCTTATTATGGGGTCCTTAAGGGGTCTAGGGCCAGGGCCCTAACTATGAGGTCCTTGGAGGGATAGGGTGACTTTAATTACGTTGGTTTAGGCTCCAGGTCCCGATTCCAAGGCTAGGCGGTAAGTAAAAGGTTGTAATAATCATACTAGTAACCATTCTAATACGAGGAATCACATCAAACTAAACCCGCTAGAGAAGCGTAAGTAAAGAGAACTTCACTACTAGCCTGCATCTCTGGCAGATCTTCTACTGCCCTCAAAGCAGATTCTCTCACAAACTGTTGCTATGCAAAGCAAGGATTGACAAATCGCAACAATACTGACCTTGTTGAACGTATTGCGTACAGCCCTGGGAGTTTCAAAAGATACGGGCCCCGAGTATACCCTATCCCTCCAAGGACCTCATAGTTAGGGCCCTTGACCCCTTAAGGACCCCATAATAAGGTCCCTGGAAGCATAGGGATAGAAGCGTCATTAAAACGGCGTGAAAGAGGCGTCGTCTTCCGCAAGCCCTATGAGTCCCAAACCCTGAACACTGCAGCACACCCCAAACCCTAAACCCTGAATCCTAAACCCCTAGAACTTAAAAGCCCTAAAATATCTAAAACCCCTAAACCCTAAAAGCCCGAAACCCCTAAAAATCCTCAATCCTAAACCCTAAAGTTCGAAAACCTAACGTTTATGGAACAGCGAGGGCTCTCAAGCTGGAAGCTCAGGAGGGGGCCGGTGGCCACTGCCTGGAACAGGGCTAGCTGGGCCATTCTTCATGATCCCTAGAAGCTCATACCCTACCCCTTTTTAGGGTACCTAGTTGTCTAGTTAGGATCTGTTATATAGCAAAGTAGGTACCCTAGAAAAGGGATAGGGTATGAGCTTCTAGGTATTTAAAGTTTAGAGGCTGCAGGATTCAGGGATTAGGATTCAGGGTCGGGCTTCAGGGTTGACGAGTTTAGGGGTTTATGGAAAATGTCATGGGACGTCCCATGCGATAAGAACGCAGGAGATCCTAAACGAAGCAGCTAGTTTCCTAATTGATTCCAGCAAATTACATCACCGCCTTCCCTGTCTGTGGCATTGGCAATACAAATTCCTAACAAATTGCGGATCCACAAATGGCAAAGGGCAATTACAAAATACATTAGCTGGAGGCGAGTACGGCCGTTTAGCGACCAAGCCGTATACTTGTCACTCCCGATGTCAGACTTCGGCCGGCTAGGGTTTAGGGGTTTAGGGCTTCGTAAATTTACGGGTGCATGGTTTAGGACTCTTTGGAGTTAAGGGTTTCTGCTTGAGTTCCTACGATGGCGAGTCTTAGCCCTAAGGGTCCTAACAAATTCCTGGACCCTAAGGAACCTACCTTTTTTAGGGTTCCTTAATATGATTTCTTCATATAAGTCCGTAAAAAGGTGGGTTACGTGGGGTTAAGGTTGGGGAACCTCAAAATTGAGGGTTTCTGAGACCCGAAAGAGACCCAAGGACTCCTTCTAGGACACTCCCCGGACCCTCCTAAGGAGATAGCTGGACCCTTAGGGAGTGCTCCTTTTTTTGGAAGGCCTTTTAAAAGGCTCCTTTAGGGCTTATAGGGCGTTTTTGCTCTTTAGGGTTCAGGGCCTGGGATGAAGGGCTCTAGACTTCTAGGGTTTCGGTCCAAGAGATGCAGGGCTTATGTGGGGGTTTCCGAAAATAGGGGACCCTAATATAGTACCCTAAATAGTAGGATCCCCATTACAAGAATCCCCAAATAAGGTACCCCATAATTTTCGAAAACTCACAAATGTGGCTTTGGGCCTATGGATGTCAGGGATGTAGATGTTAAGGAAATCGGGAGTTAAGGGTGTAGGCTGCTTGATCTCCTGCCATCACAGGCGCCGTACCTTGGGGGCCTCAATACTCAGAACGCGTTTTTACAGGGTTACTGTCATCGTACAGCTGTAATCAGGAAGCCCAAGGAATAATGTTGGTACAAACTCAAGCACTCTATATTAGAGAACCTGACCACCAAGGGTTTAAGGTCTCAGGGTGTCAAGGGTTTAAAAACGTATACAGTGTCTGAGGGTCTTCGGTCTTAGCTTCTTCAGGTCTCAGGGCTTTAGGGTTTCGCGTTGTAGGCCATGCACACAGGACGACAAAGTTTGTCATGGTTGCCAGATGGTGCGAGCATGTCGCTAGTGATAACATGTGATCACCAGACTGTGAAACATGGACGGGAACAGCATTACATGCACCATCAACAAGAATGACCACGACAGCAACACCAAATCCGGTTAACAAACATCAAACAACCTAAACACAATTGCCATGGCAATTCTGATTTCAAATCACTCTAACCCAGATCATGACGATTCCTCTAGCACTGCCGAGCATGGTTTCAACGAAGAGATACTTATGCTGCTAGCCGTTTAAGTTTATGGTGGCCGACTACCAAAGACAAAGCTGCGCACCAGGAGTAACTAGCCAGGCATAACCACGAAAAGTAGCAACGATGGGAATGGCACTACAGTCTCGAAACACCCGACAAACTCACATGTGCCCAACGACAGCACCTATCAAGACATATGCCACTTGCCAGCAACGGAATCTCTCAACAAGCATGCGAACCCCGAAGGGGATGTATGAATGATCGGCTATTAGGTCACAGATTCCAGACCCCCAAACCCAGAAGGGATATCAACGTTCAGAAACGTAGAACCGTAGACTCAAACTCTGTACCCTAACCCAACCTTGAACCCTGGACTCTAAACCCACAGCCATAAAAGCGAAAGCCCGAGATCCGTCTTGTCTTGAAACCGCAGAAAGGCCTTACTGTGCGTGGAGAAGGCAATGGCCGTCACAGTGCCGGTGTGGCCCTGGGCTTGCCAGGCTTGTTGTCCGAATGTGATGTAAAATTTAGTGGTTGTCATTTCTAAAAACAGTAATTACTCATAAGATCAAGAGGAATACTTCATAACAGTAATAACAACAACAATAATCGTAATAGTAATGATGGCCGTCCGTGTAGATATTTCTTAGGTTTCTGTTCGTACACAGCATGATAACGATGATCATAACGGTATTACCCTTTTTCTAACAATGGTAATAACTGGCAGAAACACTACCACTAACGATCATAGTAATATAAAAACATTAACAATGATCAGCTTAAGAAGAACAACAATAACGTTGTTCGTGGTATGGGGTTTCGGAAATTGCGTTTCATAGGGTTTACGGTTTGGCATAAGTTTTCTGTGCGGCGCTAATGATACTACCAGACACAAGTAACCAGTAACTCCGTGCTTCAACATCCGGCAAGACACTACTGTTTCCTCACTGCAACATCTGTATATAGGAATGGCCACTGACCTGATCCAAAAGCCCGGAGTGGTCGGAGATTGAGGTATATCGTTGTACAACCAGAACATACATGTAGACAGGGGCAAAAAGGGACGATATGGAAGCACATTAACATCTCTGTCTTCATTTCCCGCCCCCTATAATAATGTCATGCTGACCTTCCAAGCACTTCCCTCGATCAACACCCTAAACGCTAAACCCTGGACCGCAAAACCTCAAATCGAAAGCCCTAAAACCTGACACCCTAACCCCAAAAAACTTCAATCTCTGAAACCCTAAACCCTCAAATCCTCAATGGGTGACGACCCCGGGGGATTCTCGGCTCCGAAACCCGAAATCTTCACCTCAAAGTCCTTGCGACCAGAATACTTACTTGGGTTTAGGGTTTAGGGTTTAGGGGTTTAGGGTTTAGGGTTTAGGGTTTAGGTTAGGGTTTAGGATGTCGAGGTTTAGGGATGTAGGGGTTCGAGTACCCCACAAAAGTTAAAGGCTACCTACTCTACTGGTAAGTGCATGAGGGCCAGTATGGATAGGGTTCCTATATGGGTTCCTTTAAAGGATTTTACACGGCTTCTATAAGGGGTTGTTCGGAATTCTAGCATGGGGGCCATATAGCAACACGAGTTGGGTCTGTATATCCATTCCGTGTCGGATTCTATGGGATTATACACTTGTAGGTCCATGTTAGTTTCCTTGAATTATCATAACTCGAGGAACTGTAAAGAAAAGGACTGGTCATCTTCACTACATTACGGTTCGATTTCCAAACCCTCAACCCGAAATCGGCAATTCTACACTCTGAACCTTGAGTCCTGAACCCCAAGAAACCCCACACAGTAAATCTTCAACCCTCACCCTAACCGTCCCAGGACCCAATCAACTAAGTTTTTTTTGGGTAGTATTGTATCAGATAGCTGAAGGAGTATATGATCAGTACACACGTGGACCCTGACTAGGGTCAATCCTCAAGCCTCTAAACCCTAAGCCCACAGCCCCAGACTCTAACACCGTATAAAACCCTAAACCCGAAAACTCCAAAGTCCTAACCCCCCCGGACAATATCCTGAAAGTGGTCCTTATAGAAACCCTTACAAGGCGCCCTAATATGGGACTTTCGGAAAATAGGGGCGCCTAATTTGCTACCCTGTAGGATCCTGATTGTAAGGACACCAAAACAAGGCACCACTAATTCTCAGAAACTCCCCAACCCTAAACCCTAAATAGTACCCTTATGCATCCCTTTCGGGAGCCCTTCAAGGATCCCTTTAAAGGAGTCCCCTAACTTCCGGAAACTCCCAGATGAACCGTAAGGCTGCGCATCTGCTGGGACGCTGGCCGAGAGGGTCAACTCGCCGGATCGCTCCTGCACCTGCGAGCGCTATCCCATAGGCCCCCAGGTGGGAGTTTCCGAAAATTAGGGGTGCCTTAGGGTTCCTTTAAAGGGTTACTATAAGGGTACTATAAGGGTTCCTTTAAAGGGCTCTTTAAGGGTTTAGAGTTTCCGAAAATTAGAGGTACCTTATTCTGGGGTCCTTATAATAAGGATCCTACTATTTAGGGTACTATATTAGGGTCTCCTATTTAGTACAGATAGATACTCATAGGCCCCAAAGTGGTTCCTTTTTGGGGTTCATATATAGAATTCCAGAAGGTAATCCCAAAAAGAAACTACTTTGGGGCCTCTGGGTATCCCGACTTCGGGTTTCGCGTTTTAGAGAACTTGAACTCTTAGAGTTTAGGGTTCAGGGGTTTATTTAGGGGTTTGGGGTTTCGCGGTTTAGGGGTTTAGGGGTTCAGGGGTTCAGGGGTTTAGGGGTTTAGGGTTTAGGGGTTTAGGGGTTCAGGGTTTATATTATGGGTTTAGGGTTTTAGAGAGCCTGAACTTTTTGAGTAATGCAGGGGGCTTAATAATTAGAACAGGGTTTTGGGCCCCATCATACTGTACTTATACTAAGAACCCTCCAAAATAGTATAGGTAATGATTCAGGTCCGGAGTGCATCAATAGCTCACTTCGACCAAGGTCAGCCCGAACAAAATCCAAGGAACATCTCGGATCGATCTTCTTGTGACTGTATCGCCCACGATTCCGCGGTCCATGTGGTGTTCGAGTACGAGCCGCACGTCACGTCGGCACCACGCTGCAGCCACGCGCTGACCCACTCCACGCAATCAACATCTGATAGTGCAACTGGTCGTCCTGATGCTGGAGCTTGAAGTGCTCAAGTTTCTTCTTCTTCATGACTCTTACATGGACATAAGCATCAGCTTCCGCTCCAGCGCAAACAGGCGGCGGAGGAATCCTCGAAGCATAGAATGAGGCATCACCAGTGCCGCCGCTCGCCTGCACCTCCGAGTCTGGCGGCTGACCAGACTGGCTCGACTGTTGTCCTCCTGCAGGCTGGAATCCCCGCTGCAGTAAAGCCCAAGAATGGCAACTCCAAGGCAACCCTTAAACCTAAACTCAACATGGAGTTCGAACTTTTATAGAAACTGCACAAGCCCTAAACGTTGAACCGTAAAAGACTAAAGCCCTGGACTCGATTGGTTATCAGCCCCCTCTGACGTGAAGGAAAACCCCAAAGGCCAATGCCTTCACTTCCTCCTAGCAGTACAGGGTTCTATTGGTTTGACCTCGGTTCTGCCAGGCTTATGGACAACTTGTGCAGAGGCTATTTGAACAAACTAAACCTGCAACCACTAAATCTTAAGCCCCTAAACTTTCGAGCCCTAAACTTAAAGTGTCAACCCAACCCCTTAAAACCCTAAAATCCCCAAACCCTAAAACATAAACCCCCAAACCCCGGAGGACCCAAGCCCACAAGCAACAGCACCTTCCAGAGCTTCACCATGGAGTCCTGTGCCACAAAATAGATGGGTGGTTTTCAAAATTAGGATCCCTTTTGGGGGTACCCTAAGATAATAGGTGCCGTGTTATCATAGGGACCCAAGAAGGGACCATAATTTTGACCACCACCCAGGCCAGGTCTACATTAGAAGCCCGCAAGTTAGAAACTCGATAGCCTGAATCCTTAACTAGGATGCCCAGTAACCTAGGAATAAAAACGGCTCTCTTTTTGGTACTGGGTAACTTTATAAGGAACCTCACCTAGGCCTACAAAAAGGGGAGTAAGGGTAAGACTGGGCATCCTAGTTAAGAGTCATGTAAAGGGAATCCCAGCACTATTTTTGGCCTTCCCAGAGAAATCATATTAGGGATCCTACTATAATCTAAGGTATATTACTTAATTAAGGGATGTTGGAGTCTCTGGGCCTTGATCCGGTTTCCAAATGAGGGTCCCTGGGCCATGGTATTCAGCTTTAATGGGGGAACCCTGAACCAAAAAGGGCAGCAGGCGACTAACTCCTCAAAAACTTAGAGATGTAGGGTTGCGATTTAGGGCTCGAAGGTTCAAGTTTTAATGCTGAGGGTTTAGGGTTCAGATTTTGCAGTTTCGGGTCTACATTTCCGGGATCTCAGTTTTAGTGGCCAGCAACTCGATGCAGCGAACAGGCCAGTTTTAGGTACTGTAGGGACGTGAAGGTTTCGAGGAGGGGGTTGAGGGGCTCGGCACTTTCATGAGGTAAGAACTATAGTTCCACTAGTTTTGCAGTCGCGTATACTCGCATGCTCCTGATTGGATAAGGTTGCACCACAAGCCGTCAACCCTAACCTTCAAAAACCCTATAAGCCTTAAAGCCCTGAACCCGGACAGAATGCAGCACAGTCTGTAAGCTCCTGTTGCTCCGCTGTTTTCTATGCAACTTGCAGTTTCTTCGCGTGCTTTTTGTGCTGCTTTTCCGAGCAAGGGATCTCATGGCTGCTTCGGGCACTTCGGGACTTGCAGCCTCGGGAGCAGGAGGTTTTCAGACATCTGGTGCATCATCCGCTCCGTCTACTGCACACTTCGCAGTCGCTTGGCCATGTTGCTGCTTTTCTTCGCCTTCGCCTGTGCTGATCTGATCGCACTCGCCGCGCGGTTTCCAACTAGAGTCCACCGCCTCTCGTTCATGTTCACGCCGCCACGCTGCTCAATGATCTGCATCCTCCTCTGACCATTTCCAGCCGATCTGCATCGCATGTGCAAGCCCCAGGTTTTTCAAGCGATGTCCAGCAAACGGGTCCCGGAGGTTATAGCACAGTCCAAGTTGAAAATTTCCTGAACTCCATTGAACCCTTCAGGCGCGCTCTAATGTTTAGTGTTTAGGGCTTCAGGGTGAGACTTCGAGGATTCAGGGTTTAGGGTTTCAGTCCTCTGCAGCTGCCGACGCCTGATTCATACCTATAGGGTCATACCCTACCCCTTTTTTAAGGTACCTACTTTTCTATATAAGAGACCCTAACCATAAAACTAGGTACCCTAAAAAAGGTGTAGGGTATGACCCTCTAGGTACACCCTCTTCCGTGGAAACTTGAGGCAAAAACGATTTAAGGGTTGAGGGTTTACGGTCTTAGGACTTGGGGTGTCGGGTCGAAAGGTTTCGGGTTCAAACTTAAGCTTTAGGGTGTCGGGGATTCGATCCTCTGGGTCCGGGTCCAGGGGCTCCCTTTTCTAACTATAGTAGAACATACCCCTATTCAAGCCCCTACTTTACCATGAAGACTCTCTTCTTCAACAACCGGGCCCCAAAAAGGTCAAGCTGTCGAAGATAGAGCTAGTATATAAGGCCACAAAGTTTAAAGTTCCCCCGTTCACTCCCTAAGAAGTCGTAAACCCTAAACCCTAAACCCTAAAACCCTAAACCCTAAAACCCTCAACCCTGAGCACGCTGGAAAAGTCCTCTGATCCGGTTGCCACAGTTCTCCTGGCGAAGGCTGGACAAACCCCAAAAGAGGGTCTAGGTTTTGGGGGTTATAGTAGGGTTTGGGGTTCTTTTAAGGGTTCCCTTGAGGATTACTACAAGGGACATATAAGTGTAGTATAAGGGGTTTTGGGTTTGGGGTTTAGGGTTATAGTAGGATACTTAGTAGATATGAAGTTCGGCCCCCCCAATCGTGTATACGATGCCAATACTTGGACCCTGTGGGAAAGCTGGCAGAAACTTTGCAGACCAATGACGTCAGGACTTGGGTTTAGGATTTCATGATTTTCAACGGGGCTGGGGGGGTGTTTTGAAACACATCTCGCGTCAGGAACCCTACTGAATAGTACTACGGGGTTTGGGCTTCTTTTAGGGTTTTGGGTTTAAGAATACTGTGTATTCAGGCCCCCGTAGTGAAGGGTTCTGGGCTTAGGGCTTACTACTATTTGCTTAAGAAACACCCAAAAAATAGAAATAATAATCCCTATATTACCCCCCCATAAGGAATATATTTTTTATTTTTTGGGGGGGATTCTTAAGCAAATAGTAGCTTAGGGCCAGGCCATGGGTTGGAGGGTTGTCGGCTTGAGGCTCAGGGTGTGGGGAAGGGTGTGGAGATACTGTTGATGATATAAATCCTGCATGACCCATAATAAGGAATATACCATAATTCCCATAGTTTAGGGTCCTTAAGGTCATGCAGGATTTATATCATCAACCGTACTGCAAGTCTTTCTCACCCTGAACATCCCTAAACCGTAAACCCCTAAACCCCAAACCCCTACACCCTAAACCCTATACCTGGTAAACCCTAAGCCCAAAACCTAAACCCCTGGACCCTATAAACCCTACAATAAACCCTAAACCCCATAGTAAAACCCGAAGTCCCTAAACCGATCGACGAAACCAGCCAGGTTCGCGAATCGGCGCTGAACGCAAGGGACATGATGCTGCCCCGGTGGCCAGAACAGACCTTGCCAACTTCAGGCTTGTAATGTGTATATATATATATATATACTTCTGTTCATTTACGTATTTATTGTCTATACACATATGTACTATATATATATATACACATGGATACATAAATATAAACATGATTATGTATGTATGCATGTGTGTATATATATATATGTGTATGTATCATGACGTACTAATTTACTATAGTTTACCATACTGTACTACTGTACTATGCTATGTAATTTCATGCAATAATAATGTACTACCAATGATTAACAGTAATAAAGGCTACAGACGTTCCGGAGAGTACAGGGCCTGAGAGATGCATTCTCGCGGGAGGTTGGGGTGTTTTGTAAGACCTGTGGCCCTCAACCCTATGGTTTTCCCTCAACCTCTGTGCGGAAAAGTCAGTTGTGCAAGCTACGTCTCACCAGTGAGACGTAGCTGGAGCTGGAATCACGGAAGTGCAGAACTGAACCATACGAAACGAACTATGACCAAGCATATGAAAGTACAGCAGATTAACCTGGTGCAGTGACAACAAGATGTATTTCTCAAGAAGCCAGGCGATTGGGCTACGTCTACACATGCGTGTTGGGCTACGTCTACAAATGCAAAGTGCAGACACAGAGAGAGAGAGAGAGAGAGAGAAAAAAAAAGAGAGGGAAAGAGAGCGATACATTGCATATGTGCATATGTATACGCGAAGACGCGATGTACTCTCCGCAGCACAGTCATCAGTCCATCCTCAAACTCAAACTGCTAATTACCCCGAAACCCCAAGCCCTTCCCGCTTCAAAGGATCGTGCTCGCACGATCTTGCCAGACTCCAGCACGATAATTCTTGCAGTCCTGCGCATGAAAGGAACGGTGCAGGGTTTCAGATCAGAGAACGTATAACTTAGAAGCTGCCCCCACCCTGTAATAGTGAACATAAGGATTATATTAGGGCCCTACTATGTTCCTATTATACCACTATTACAGGGTGGGGGCAGCTTCTAACGTAGAACTATATACAGACAAACTTTCAACTTGGATCTCATGACTGACAGTATTATTTGACGGAATGTGCCTTGAGCAATAACCCCGAACCCAAAACCGAAACGTTAAACCCACTAACCTTCAATCCTGTAGCCCACAACACCTGCAGGTGTAAGGCCATATGGTATGCTTTCCATACATATTCCCTGGAAGGTTTTGAGGCCACAGGTAAAGCCCTGTATGAGCCCAACTCCAACACAGGGGATGCAGCGTTTGGGCCAAGATTATGCGTGGTACTTTTATCTATTCAGGCTGACATAAACATCCTTTAAGAAAACCCTGTAATTCTGGGCTTTTAAGTAACCAGGGAGAAAAAAGTATAAACTTCTATTTCATAAGGGCTCCTTTAAGAAAAAAGTATTAAAGTATGGTAGTCCAAAGCCCAGCTTAAGAAAACCCTGTAATTTCTCCCTTACATCTTTCAGGCTCATAAAACCTATCAGAACCCCTGTGGCCAGTCCCGTCGAAGCAGCCCGTGGCGATCATCTTCCCGTTCGGTGATGCCGCCTGGCGTCGGCTCTGAAGCTTTCAGGGTATGGGCTTTAGAGTTTGTTTAAAGACTTTTAAATTTGTCTTTGTATGGTATGAGGGCTTAGTTTAGAGCTTAGGGTGTTAGGTTCGATATGTGTGATGCTGACTAGGGCTTCTTGCTGAAGCCAACAGGTCCTGCTTGTGTGATTGTATTTAAGTTTTGGCTAAAGGTCTGAGGGTTTAGGGTTTAGGGGTTTAGGGGTTTAGGGTTTAGGGGTTTAGGGGTTTAGGGTTTAGGGCAATTACTTTTTGTAGGACTCGAAAGGCCCGAATTGGAGCGCTTCCCGTCTAAGTGTTTTTCGGGCTCTAACGAGAAACCAGTTTGGTATTTAACATTCACGGTCTCGTGGCTGTGGGGCTTGGTGGTTCAGGATTTACACTTTCGTGGCATGCGCAGGTCTCGTAGCTGTACCGTTGATCTCCATGGGCCGGCGCTGCAAAGTTTCAAACATCAATTCGGGCGGGCGCAGGAAATAGTTTCGCTTTTATGGAAACAGCCTGCCTGCAGCTAAACACGAAGCAGAGCACGCTTTAAAGACCCCTCACACTCCATCGGTTCTTGCAGCTTAACACCCATCACTGTTGCGGTCACACAGTTCACACTGCTGATGGCATCTGCTTCCGGTTCGCAATTGCCACACACAAGGGAGATACGACACCACTTCTGAAATCCAAACCGTAGTAGAGCCCAGGAAAGAAACCATTGATACTTGCAAAAAACATGCCCCCTCTCTAAAAGCTCTGCACTATACACCGAGTTCCTTTCCGGTCCACGAAAGAGCACATCAGTGATGTAATTTGACCCTGAACCACCAACTTGGAGAACTACCCAAATGCTCTGGAAGCCGACACCGGTACGCAAGAATCCCTCAGAAGGCAACAGCTACGTCTTGGAAACAAACGTGAACCTAACAGTCCATATACCTCAAGAGTATATACTCGGGCCCTACAGGACCTAAATAAGGACTGCAGTAAGGCCAAAGTATACACTACATGAGTGCGTGGACCCAAAATAATAGAAGCCCTTTACCCCGAAAGTCGTCTTGGGTTGGGCTCTTCTACTGTGAAGCCGTGGCGGCAGCACCACCGAGAAGATCGCGCCCATGTGGCCGCTGTACTGCCTGTTTGCGGGTTAAGGCACAAGGGTCTGCACGGGTTTAGGTTTAGGGTTTACGGTTTAGGCCTAGGGTGCCGCATCGGCGCTTTACTAAGATGAGGTGCAGGGTTCTATAAGTCTACAATGGATAAGTAAGGCCTCCTGTCGGGTGGTTCTAGCGGAAGGTTGGTGGGCTGCTTCAAGTCAGGCTGTAAGTATGTTAATCTGCTGCGGTCGGCCGGACCCTACTTGTAGCTCCTCATAATGCAAGGCATCAGAAGTTTTAGGAGCCGAGAACGGGATCAGAGAATGCTTGGGTTTAAAGTTTAGGGTCTTAAGTTTCGGGCTTTCGGGTTGAAGAGGGCTTTGCGGGGGGCTCAGGGCCCCTGGGCCCTAAACAAACCCTAAAGCCCCAAAATCCCCTGAAACCCTTTGGTGGGACTCCCATGGATTTATAAGGATTGAGCCACACCTTACCCAGCAGAGGCTCCAGCGTAGTACCTGTTTGGGATTACCTTACAGGGAACTCCAGAAAGTTGGAATATGGTTTCATGGTAGGATACCCTATAACTTACCATAGAAGGGTTAGGATAATCATATTCCAACTTTCTGGCTTTTACCTTATAGGATTCTAAATATGAACCCCAAAAAGGAACTACTATGGAGCCTATAGGGTTCACAGGGAAGGGCTTTGGGGATTCCAGGCTCAGAGGCTCAGGGGCTCTTGGGGGGGGGCTCAGGGCTTAAGTTTGAGGCTGTAGGGTTTAGGGGTTTTGGGTTTAGGGGTTTAGTTGGGCTTAGGGTTTTAAGTTTAGGGTTTAGGGGTTTAGGGTTTTAGGGGGGGTCAGGGTTTAAGTTCGGGGCTTGGTGTTTGGGCTTCAAGGTTTCGGGTTTAGGTTTATGACTTGCGCCAGATAGCTTCAAGGCTCAGGGTTTCGGGGCTGGGTGTACTTCAACCGCTGTAATCAAGAAAGAACTCTAACAGCGATTTCCGATGACCAGTTCAACTCCATCATGATACAAATCATGTAGCTTTTTGGCAATGGCAGGTCAGCGTGAAGGAGAAGCGATAGCGCCCGCCCCAATCGGTCTTTGTGATCCTGGAACACACCGTATGAGCCTTCCTGGCGATAGTGGCGCCAAAACCTGGGTACAAGTTTCTGAAGCTTTGCCTCTTCCGCCGCATTGCACCGGGAGCTGGTTGTGCAGGGCCAAGACTTTTAAGAATTCCGTGACACGCCATGGATCCTGGCTGATTGCGGTGGAATTTGGTTCCAGCTTTGTTTCAACATGTCTGGGACCCCTAAGAGGAAACTCCTAAGCCTGAAACTAACACCTAAACCCTAAACCAAGAACCAAAGCCTCAACCCTAGACGAACGCAAACCTTAACCCTCACCAATGCTATGAGTGCACTTGGACCCGCACTGCATCTAGTCTTTCAGGTCACTCGTAGGGTTACGCTCGGGATAACCGCATATCGAAGGTTTAGCTGTAGGGTTTCGGGTTGGCTTCCATTCCAAATATAAGCGGCTTTGCTGAATCCCGAAGCAAGTATTGGACTCAAGATGATGCTTCAACCTGCCCGAAAGGCCTCCACTACAAAGGCCTTTAAACCCACATGCACCCCTATAAGATCCTCTAACTTAGAACCCCGGGGTATCGACACTACTTCTGTCCTTTTTGTAGATTCCCCATGCGGGCTTTAGGGAGAATTGTTGCCATAATCGTAGTATATTATCAAACCCCACAACCCTATTTCAATCTTAACTCCTTATAAACCCCTAAACCCTTACATACCCTGTTCTACCCCAAACCCTTATATACCCTTACAAACCCTAAACCCTTACAAACCCTTAAGGCCTCATAAGCTGGCCCGTCACCACGTTCCAGAGCTGCACAGTGCCATCCTCAAAGCATACCAAGAGAATGCATTGTTCCAAGAGCTCCACAAGGGCTCTACGAAGAGTGATAGGGTTTGGGGGCTTAGGGTTTAGGGGTTTAGGGTTTCGGGTTTGAGGCTCTACGATGGGTGTTAGGATATGTATATATAATATATATATATACACATAGACATAGACATAGACATAGACATAGACATAGACATAGACATATACATATACATACATAAACACAGATGTACATATTCACATATATACACATATACAAACAAGCACATCTACACATACGTACATGACATACGCACACACTCGCATGCACGCATGCACGCGTACACGCATACACTCGCACACTCATACACACACACACACAGACACACATACGTATACACATCCACATCCACATTCATAGACATACACATAAACTGACAAATACGCGCACACACACACCTACCTACACACATACACGCATGCACAATACACAAGACAGATATACACATATACACACATACACACGTATGCACGTATTCACATCTACACATGCATATACATCCTTTTCTACATACATACATGGGACTTTCCGAAAACAGGGACCCTTAATAGGGTACCCTAAATAGTAGGATCCTTATTATAAGGACCCCAAAAACAAGGAACCCCTAATTTTCGGAAACCCCCGACATACCTACACACTAACCCATGCATGAGTTTAGAAGGCGTCCGAGGCTTTCCCTTGGCTGCTCGCTTTCTATTCCACCCTTCAGATTGAGCATACCAGACACACAGATGGGAGTTTCCGAAAGTTCAGGGTACCTTATTTGGGGTCCCTTATAATAAGGATCCCACTATTTAGGCTACCACATTAGGGTCCCCTGTTTTCGGAAGCTCCCATATGCAAATATGCGCACGCACAGACACACACACACACATACTAGTGTGGTCTCTCCGTAGGTGTGTTTGTAGGTTGTGTATGTATGGAACTGTGTAAGTACCAATCTTCGTAGATACGACGTACGCTAAGACGAAAATGTGGAAAGCAAAAGTGTACCGATAGAAGGCCCCTGTATTAGGCAATTGAGCACCCGGCCACCATGCCAAGTACCAGAACAAGCCCAGACCTCGGCAAACGCAGGCTTTTGTTGCAGAATGTAATGTCAGTTACCTTAATAAGGACACCCCATGATTCCCTACAGATCCCCTTCCCCCTAAACCCTAAACCCTAAACCCTAAAACCCTAAACCGGTATTAACACGAACCCAGAAAAGGGCGGCGAGAACGAGCCCGAGCTCAGCAGGTGAGGGTTTAAGATCTAGTTTAAAGGGATCTATACTTAAAGGATCATGGGACTTAGTAAGTAGGTTATAATTGGGGTTATAAGTCCCCTAAGTGGGGTTACCCTAATTATAACCTACTTATAACCTTACTTACTAAGTCCCATGAGCCTTCAAGTACGCGCTCCCCTACGTAATCTATGAGGGCTCCTTGAAGGGCTTAAACAAGGGCTGCTTGAAGGGATTTACAAGGGTTCCAGAGGGAACAAAAGGTTTGACAAGGGCTGTTTTAGGTCTTTGCAAAGGGTGTCGGGCTTTATAAGGACTTGGCGAAGTTTCTCATGGGCGGTTTGCAATATGTGTATAGGGATAGTAGAAGGGTGTTGCAGGCGTTTTGCAGGTTACAAGTTTTCTGCGAGCTTATAAGCATTGAATGTGGATCGTAAGGGCTTAGTACAACCCAAGAGGTCTACTGAAGGCATTGAGGGGAACTCAGAATGAGGATTTGCTAAACCACGGCCCCAAGGGTACGTACCTTACCGTGGGGTTCTTTCTCATTGATGTGCATCATAAGGTGGTCCGCAGTAGCTATGTAAGAGTGCTACGAAACGGGCGCACGATGCCGACATCTAAGAGCCTTGCACTGCCTACAACCCCTTTCGCCCGTTAGCCCTAAACGTGAAAAACAATCGAAACCACGCCAAGTAGCACTAAGAGCTGGGGTAATCCCATGAAACCTTTATAGAAGCCCTTATTGAAAGTGTTACAGCCTATCAAGGACAGCCCTCAGACCCTCAGACCCAGCCACACAAAGCACCCGGCTGTGCTAAAGCCACAGACTTCACGGCCCCGTAGCGGCACTCGAAGGTCCTGCACGAGGCTTCGCAGGTCTGTGTTGTTGGGTTCGGGGCTTAATGCAGGGGCCTTAATCATTCGAATAGGGTGCCAACAGGGATCTATAAGGGTACTCTATGAAGGGATTTAGGGATGTAGGGGCCTTAATAATTAGAATGAGGTCTTGGGGCCCATTATGTGTTATAGTAAGGAGCCCCCAAAATGGTATGGGTAATAAAGTCAGGCCCCTATAGTAGGGTTCAAGGCTTAGCCTAGGGTCTTTGGCTTAAGAAACGAAAAAACATAGCTATCATTAAAGCTAGCACAACCAATGGCAAAGCATACTACACACTGACAGGACAACAACCAGAAATCCTTCTTCGACCTTAACACGGCACTTGGGAGTGGGCTTCGGGCACGTTCCGCATGGAGAGCTGCAGATTCGAACACGACAGCACCCACAAGTACTCAAGATCACATGTCATGTACCGAACAACAAGACGTCATGTAATTGTCATGCTTGTCTCTCATCTCCAACCCACTCTCGCGACGACGACGCAGAGGCGCAGACTCTAGTAGAAACACCGGTCAGAACAGACAGTCAGATAGATAGACAGACAGAAAAAGCAAGCAGTCAGGCCGGCAGTCCGGCAGGCATGCAGACAGACAGACAGACAGACAAACAGACAGACAGAGGCATGCATGCATGCATGCATGCATGCATGCATGCATGCCCATACACGCACGATGCATCTCGAATCTGACCCGGGATCTAGCACTCAAAACCATAAATCTCAACGATGTACCATGGACACGAGTTGTTGGCGCAACATCAGAAAGCGGGATCCGAAACTCGACATCATGAACTTGCCACAGCTGGGAAAAGCCAGATGCCCGTGTCAACATTACCCAGATCTTCTGTAGACCTTGTAAGGTCTTCCCGAGTCGTCGCCAAGAAGAGGAAATGCAGCCAATCGAAGGGGTGGGGAGTGGGGATCGGACTTGGGCGAACCCTAACCCCTAAACACTCTAGGGTAGGGTGTTGACATCTCGAGAGGTGTTGGGCCAGTCGATAAGGTTTGTTGTCAGCCAAGATTATCCTAATTCATGAACCCACCCACCCGGGTACTGCTGTCCTAGCAGGAGAAGGGTTTATGTACCAGGGGAGTATGCTAATTACGGCTTGAGGTTACAGCCTCCACTGCAGTCTGCCCAAAACAATCAAAACAAGGTCCCGAAGAAAGCGCACCGCAAAGCACCATCCAACAACCCTCTTGCGCCACGCCTCTCGCACACGCCAGACTCTACACCTGGGATGTCAGGTGCTTGGGTTTAGGGTTTAGGGTTTATAGGGTTTTGGGGTTTTGGGTTTAGGGTTTAGGGTTTGGGGTTTAGGGTTTAGGGTTTAGGGTTTAGGGGTGGATGTAGTGGCTTGTTCCCTTGAGGATTGGAACGTGCAGGACCATCACAGGCTTCAGACACACAGAAAAACCGCATCGGGGACATGACTGTCTAATGTTGCTATCGACCGACGAAGTAGTGCCGATCTAACGACAAAGAGGTGCTCCAACATACCGAAATATGATTCGGTCTACACAAACATGTTGTTTAGCATGGTATGTGTTTGTATGCCTGTATGTGTATATGTATATACACATGTATATATGTATGTATATGTATATATACTTACATACATACATGTATATATATATATATATAAATATATATATATATATATATATATATATGTAGGTCTTATGGTGTGCCCTACTGCATGTTCTTCTGGATCCTGTCGAAAAACCCACCCCGGTTTAGGACTCGAGGGGCCTCAGCAACTAGCCCTTAGGATCCCTTAAGTAGTCCCTCCATAACCATGCCCTGCCATACCCAAGCATCCTCTTCTTGGCTGCCTTCTGAACCCCTCCTCGCAAAGTTAAACTTTTAGCCTCCTTATTATTGCTGATATAGAAACCCAAGAAGTTCAAGTCCGAAGAGCCAACCAGAAGAACGCCAAGTCTTCTTCTGATGACGGTTTAGGGTTTAGGGTTTAGTGTGTTAACTGAATGTTGGTGAAGAAGAACCCAAAGCATAGAGCAGATGATAGCCAAACCTGGCGCACTCCCATTGGCGAACAGTCTAGAGCTTTACGCATCTGCAGCATCGGTCTGATTCTCATCAGAGGTTCTGTTAAAAAATGCCACATGCATGGGGCCAATGCACGTACTTTACTGTTCAGACCAATCTATCACCCTCGAAGCGAACCCAGGGTTCGAACACAGTTCCCCGAACCCAGGGTTCGAATGTAGAGTTTTTTGACCCCTGTAAAGCATTTGGCTTTGTCCATGTGATGAATGGGATGTTTTTCAGCATTTCTTCGCGCACAAAAGAGCAGGTAGTTTGCAGTTTGACAAACGGCAGGTTTGAGGTTATGTGTGATGGAAAGGACGTTTTTGTTCATTTTTGTTCGCAGAAGCGCTGGGAGTTTTGCAGTCTAAAGAAGGGCAGCCGCCCCCCCCATCTGCAAACCCTTCCAAAATGAGGTAATCCTCTAGAAACCTTGGATCTTAAGCCACCTTCCTATAGGAACAGTCAAACCACTGAAAACGTGTCTTCTAAGACGCACGGCACTGACACCTTAAAACCACTGAAACATGAAGGCCCTGCTTGTACCACTGGCCTACTGTTGCGGTCTAACCCCGGCGTACTGGACAACTTGTCACGGGCCACAGATATTCTTGATCAGACTTTATATGTTACTTACTTAAGCATTTTGCTCTCTAAGCCCTCAACCCCTAAATCCTAAACCTCTAACCCCCCTAGGACCCCTAAACCCCAAAGCCTTGTTGATGCCTCCCCTTTCGAGGCTCTGACTCCAAACGGCGACCATCCCATCATCGTAGGCGCCGGCCACGAAGAGCCTGGCGCTTGTAACCTATAGAGGAGTTCACGATTCAGAATTGTAGTGCGAGGAGGTATACATATGCATCTATATGCATACGCATTCACGCAGACTGTTGAACATAGTTTATTGTCCACGGCCCCACCATCGTCCGCAAGTTTTGTTGGCAAAAAATGCTGCTAGGGTAGGTGCTGCAGCTGAGTCATTACTGCTTCGCCCTCGCGTTCGACACCTACACCCGGTAAAGGGTCTAAGGTCCAAATAAGTCGCTGCGATCCAAATTCCAAAATATCATGAGTTGGACCCAGCAAAACACCAGCGGCCGTAGCAAAGCTCGCGAGCGGGACCCCCAAACCCTGGACTCTCAAACAAGCCTTACGCGTCCGCACTTGGAGGATCATGGGACTTAGTAACTAAGCTTATAAGTACCTTAATTGGGGTTATAAGTAGTTATACGTATAGTTAGCCTAATTATGACCCTAGTTAAGACTGAAAAATAGGAAACCAAAATAGGCTCGAGCCATTGAATTGAGAGCTTGGGGACCGTTTGACTGAAAGACAGACTTGTAAGAAAAACAGACAGACGCCACACTACAGGAAACCCTCGTGCTTCAATATTCGGTAAGACACGATAAAGCTCCGTGAAACCCGAAATTTGCGAATTGATGCCAGCAGTGCTCCGGATGCCGGACGGCAATTACCTCAGCTGCCGGCAGATTCTGGGTTAGGTACAAGGATCGTGTTGGGTTCTGTTGGGGTTTAGGGTTGAGGGTATAGACGCGTTTAGGGTTTAGGGTTTTAGAGGCCTACTTTGAGATTCGCATTTTTCTAACCGCCGGAAGAGTTACAAGAACTGCACGAGGCCGAAAGTCGAAGAAACCCTGAGAGATGATAGTCTGAACTCCATGACTGCCTAGAAGGGAGATATTGCTAAATTCTAAACCCTATAAACCCCAAACCCTAGACCCTACACTCAAAATACTGCAGCCCAGCACTCAAACCCCTATCTCTCCCGAATGCTCGAAAAATGGGTCCCTGTGTTTGCAGCTGGCTCAGTTGGGTTTATGACTGAAGATACCTCTTTCAAACGGTGGTCGTGTGGGCTACAGGGTTATGGGATCTTAAGCGGCTTTAGCTTTTATTGTTGACCCTTAACCCTAAAGCGTACAACCCTATAACCCTAAACCTTAAACCCCGAAACCCTAAACCCCTAAACTTTACACTCCTAAACCCTAAACCCCTAAACCTTACACTCCGAAACCCTAGCTTTTAAACCCTCCACACCCTGAACCCGGATCCCCAAAACCCCTACAGTAAACCCCATAAAGTTGGAAACCAGATCAAGGCCAAATAGTGCTGGGATTCTCTATGCTTAAAGGATCATGGGACTTAGTAACTAGGGTTATAATTAGGCTAACTATACTTATAACTACTTATAACCCCAATTAAGGTACTTATAACCATACTTACTAAGTCCCATGATCCTCCAAGTACAGTACTCTTAAGGACTGAGGCCATGGGGTTTCCAACTTTTGGGCTTCTACTGAGTGATCCTACAGGGCTCCTTTAAAGGGATCTAGAAGGATACTGTTAAGGGGTTCCTGTAATGGGATCTATAGGGCTTTAGGGTGCCATGCCTTACTATCGGGATCTATAGGGTTTTAGGGTTTAGGGTTTAGGGGTTCCCTTTAAGTCCTTCTTCGAGTTGAGGCCTCGGACTTCCGGAGCCGAAGATTCACTAGGAGGGTCGGGGGACTTGGTACCCTTAAGGGGATCTATAGGTACTATAGGGGTTCTATAAAGGGCTCCTTTAAAGGGGTCTATAAGGGTTCTATAAGGAGGGTCGGGGGACTTAGTAGGTAGGGGGCTCCTTTAAAGGGGATTCTAAGGGTTCCTTTAAAGGGCTCTATAAGGGTACTATGGGGTGTAGGGTTTAGGGTTCAGGGACTTAGTAAGTAGGTAGTAAGTAGACTTATAAGTACCCTAAAAGGGACCCTAATGGGGGTTATGGTACTAATAAGTCCCGAAAATAACCAGTTACTAAGTCCCCCGACCCTCCAAGCAGGGTCCTGCTATCAAACATGTTTCTCTTATTACGAATAAACAGGAGTCAGTAGTAGTATAGCAAGAATAGTAAGGATGATAGTAATAGTAAGAAGAAGAACAGTAGTACTCTAAAGGCTTCCTTAACGGCATCTATCAGGGTCCCCTGAAGAGCTTTTAGCTACCAGCCATCGCCCGGAGCCACCTGGGAGCCGTCGCAAAGCACAAACCCTTGTAGTACCCTTACAGATCCCCTTATAGTGCCCTTTATAGGAACCCTTCAAGGTACCCTACCACCCTTACAGACCCTTAAGACCCTTATAGATCCCTTACAGTGACCCTTATAGTAACCTACCAGGAACTCTTACAGGAACCCTAGACCCCAATAGGAACCCTTAAAGGAAGCCTAAAACCCTCCTAAATCCCGAGCCACCTGGGAGCCGTCGTAGAGGCCGCAATCGTCGAGCCTCTGGTCTGGCCTCAACACCTGCGAAGCGCTGGAAATGGACGGCTTCGGGGGGAGGGTTTAGGGGTTTGAGGGTTTTAGAGGGTTTTAGAGGGTTTTAAAGGGTTTTAGGGTTTTAAGCAAGGCGACAAATGGCTTGTGCATCTGAGGAACCTTCACTAAAATTTCAAACACTGTCATCAACACTTTGCAAGCTCAATGCCTATCACAAGAACCAAGAATCTAACGACGGCACAAACAAGGCTTTGTGCTATACCAGTAGAACTGTAATTAGGAACCTGAAGTATGGGCTGACTACGAATGCAGGCTCCTACATAAACACCCTGACACCCGGTAAAACCACTGCGCCACTAACTTCATTAGCAACCCTTGCAGAACACCTGCAAGCCTTAGAGTGTTCAGGTTTCCAGCGTATTAGCAGCTATTAATAGCTTACCCTGTAAACCTCTTATAAAAAAGGGTTTCACAAAGCTTATCAACACCTTGCAGAAAGCACTTATATATATACACACACATATGCATACATCTCTAAAACCGCACACTGCCCTCTTTATAAAGCCTTTTACGAGCGAAACAAAGCCTATGAAGGAACGCTCAAAGGAACCCTTGGGGTCGCCTTTCAAAGGGGAAAAGGAGGGACCCTTAATGGGGACCCCTACCCTACAATGGGCTCTATAATGGGTATATTATATGACAGCTATTTTAAGGGTATACACCTAGGGATCCTTATTATGGGTATATGATAGCTACTTTAAGGGTATATACCTACGGGTCCTTATTAAGGCTATATACCTAGGGGTCCTTAATAAGGGTCCCTCCTGTTACCCTTGAGGTCGCCTTCGTCTCACGGGCGAGCACGAGATCCATGCCCAAGTCTCCCGCCTCGACGCGGAGAGGGCCCAAGCAGGAGCTGCTAAAGTAGGGGCCCTGATAATCAGACTAGAATTCCTTTTAAGGCTTCCATCTAAAGGGGTCTACGTAAGGGCTACTATAAGGGTTATTATGAGGGTTTAGTATAGGGGCCCTAATACTTAGAATAGGGTTCCGCTATGCTATATGTATCATCGGGAACCCCCAAAATACTAGACCTAAGAGTAACCTAGGAATAAAAAGCGTGCCCTTTTTGGTTTAAAGTGGTTTATAAGGGAACCTAAACCTTAAAAAAGGTAATAAGGGCCTACTCTGGGTCCTAGAATAGTATGTTCTTCTTCTGATGGACATCAGTGCCGCTGGGGGCGCGTCCGCTAGAATAGTATGGGTAATTATATAGGCTCCCGTAGTAAGGGTTTCCGGCTTCGGGTCTAGGGGTACCCAGAGGCTCCAATATCCTTTCATTAAGGAATATACCTTAAATTATACTTATTAGGGATCCTACTATAATTTAAGGTATATTCCTTAATTAAGGGATATTGGAGTCTCTGGGTACCCCCCAAAAAGAACTTCTAAGCGCCAAGATTGAATTCCTTACAGGACCTAGGATACCGGCGTACCCGACGTGTAGACCTCGCTAGAACTTCAAACCACCTTGCACGGTCTTTTTGAGGGCAAGAAGCTTGGACTTGAGTGCGGCATAGGATGTAGAACCCGCTCTGTGTCCGTCCTCTCGCTCCTATACCAAATGTCCCCAAATGCGGTTGCGGCCTGCATTCGGATGTGAACTATTATATAGTATGGTGAAGTGTAGTAGAATACAGTGACGTACTGGCTATAGTCAGACTTGTTGTTATAGGTGTGATCATCATCGTTGTCATAGTACAGCGAAACAAGAGATAGTAACATTATAGTCTATCGAAGTACAGTCTGCAAGATTCTAACTTTCTATTTGAGGTCTGGTGGCTGTGATGTGGCATGCGGTGGCTGATTAAATAAACAGTAAAACCCTGCCTGTAGTGATGAGGTCCCCATAATAGTGTGGCACTCTTTTAAGCAGGACCCTCAAAGGGACCCTAATCTGCACAACTACTCAAATGGAAACCCAAAACCAACAGGCTCAGAGGGTTGTCCCTGGCCGAACTGTCTCGTCCAGCCTGCTTCAAGGACTCCACCAGCTCGCCCACGGTTTGGTGGGATCGCACTTGCATCCTCGAGAGGGCAGGGGCATGATATGGAGGTTCTCGAAACGAGGATCCCTTTGTAGGGCGCTTATGGCTTATGGTTCTGAGACTGACGAATGTTTCGGTGACTCGAGACCAAACCCTAGAATAGACAACCTGTTGCAGTCACTCAAGAATAAACTCTAAAACAGACAACCTCTCATGTGCATGAGAAAGGCTGATTGACGGACAGAAAGTCCGAAGTTTGAAAAGGTCAAGTCAATCACCTGCAGTCGCCGTTGCAGATCCTTCTTGATTACTCTTGGTTCTCTTTACTATAGGACCCTGCACCAAAAATAACTGCATCCGAGACCTGTGATACCTACAATTCTTGTGACTCCTCCCGTGTCTTCTAGCGGACAGCCACCGTGAGAACTCCAGCCTGCGAAGTCATACTAAGGTACATAGTTTCGAGGGTTCTGCCAGCTGATAGCTTGATATACCACGCCCTCATACCCAAAGCTGCTAATTCACAAACGGAAACGAAGGCTTGCATCAAAGACTGGACGCTTACGTAAACCTATGGGTCCAAGTACCTAATTATCATGTACTCTCCCAAAAGCTAACCTACGCAGCTACTGTCCCAGACCCAAGAACCGAATTGTCAGGCACTTTGGACCCTTTGGGTTTAGGGCTACTTGGAGGTTCATGGGTAGTTATAAGTGGTGTTGTAAGTCCCTAGTATGAGTTATAAGTATAGTTACCCTACTTATAACCCCATTTATAACTGACCTAAACCCCAAACCCTCATCCCTAAACCCTTTAACCCTATAGTGATGCCTTTAAAGGAACCCTACTTACAACCCAAAGTAGTCCCCAAATCCATGCACCGCAGTGACTAGGCAATTCGGACCCTCAAGGGTTTAGAGCCTCTTCGGGCTTGACGATTCCAGGGCCCTGAACCCTGAACCCTACCGGTATTTGTATAGCTCTCTAGAATTAGGGTCCTGTTTAGGGCTCTCTTTACAAGGGTGCCGTACTATTTTGGGGGGAACCTATAAGAAGGGACCCTGATCTAGAGAACTACCTTGGGTACTGCCCCTATACAGTAAGGGTCCATAGTAGGGCTACTATTAAGGTTCTAACATATCTCTATATGAGTGAATAATACTCAACTATTACTGAGTGGGGGCCGTACCTAAGAAATACCCAAATATAGTACCCTAAATAGTCGGATCCCTATTATAAGGACCCCAGAATAAGGTACCCCCCTTTTCGGCAACTCCCATTAAAGGGAACTCCAGAAAGTTGGAATATGGTTTCAGGGTAGGATACCTTATAATTTACCATAGAAGGGTTAGGATAATCATATTCCAACTTTCTGGCTTTTACTAATTTACCTTAAAGGGTATCATAAAGGGTTCCTTTAAGGGTTACTATAAGGGATATTCTTTTAAGGGTTATTATAGGACTGAAGGAGCCCAGGGCCCCTGGCTTTGCCAGCATAGAGCCATCCATCCGGCCGATGTTGAGCATGAACCGCTCCTGCGCCATCTTCTCTTAAGGACGATATGAACCCTAAAAGGGTTTCAGGTTCATATACCATAGAGGGATTCATAGTATATGGGTATAGGGATCTTCTCTTTGACTTCCCAGAGAGCCCAATACCCCTTAATTAAGGAATATAGCTCGAATCATATTATAAATTATAAAGCCCTTTAAAATTGAAGCCATATTCCTTATTTAAGGGGTACAGTATTGGCCTCCACGGGGTCCCCGCGTCTGGGCGCTTTAGGGGCCGTGAGACCAGTACAACAGTTTCATCAGGGTTCTGCAGGGGTTTTGTTAAAATCAAGGGTCTCTGCTGCTGTTATCATGAGGATCCGCCTGTTTGGTTTGGGATGTGCAATAAGATTCCAACCAAACCTCGACCACTGCGCTTCTCGCTGAACTCCAGAGCCCTCAACCCATTCAAACTTCATATCCACTTGAAGCCTCTGACGATCAGAAAGAAGCCTCCCAAACCCTATGCACCGAGAAAGCATGGGAGGCCCGGGCATTAACCTTGGAAAACCTCCACACTCTGAAAAGGCAGGGCGGGCCCCAAAACCCTACAAACCGGCGCATCGACCGCTCGAAACTCGCTTGAGAGTTTAGGTCGGTTTGAGGCTTCGGGTTAGGCCTTGCAGGTCTTTCATATGACGTTAGACTTTAAAGGATGTTGACAGCGTTTGGCTTCACATGAGTTCAAAGGTGAGCCCATGAAAGCCAAACTCAAGGTCTCAGAGGCCATTGTAGCACTGGATGGGGCTGCCAATGGAAGCTACTCGGTCTTACGAGGTGCATCAACGGTCTGCCCAGAGGGTCTTGCGCATGAGGTTCTGTTGGTTCTATGGGGATTTGTTATGGTTTCTAATAAGATGCACCGCAAGGGCTATGTAAGACTTGGCATGGGTCATGTACGCTTTGTCTACACGACGGGCAAGATATTTCACGGGGTAGCACACTCTCTGAATAAAGGCTGCTACAGCTCTTCCTGAAAGTATTACAGGCTTCATAACGTCTGATGTCTTGTTCGAAGCCGTTCACAACATTTGTGGGTGGTTCATGAAGATTTCGGGATTCGGGCTGGCCCGTGCTTCGGGCTACTGAAGCACATCAACACCGGGGCCTGTAACGAATTTATTCCGGTTTTGTCGTCGATTCATACATATATATATATATATACTTTGATTAGTTACTAGTAAGGAGCCGTAAGGACAAGTAACATAATGTTTTTCGGCTTCCACAGTTGAATTGCAGCTTGGTGGCTGCAGTAAGAACTTACAGGCATGCAGATATTACTTGGGACAACTCCACTTATAACCCAAGGCAATGAACCCTAAACCACTTGTGCTACCTGCAACCAAAGGCCCCAAGACTAAGTTGACTAACTATGTTCCATGCTCCGAAACCATGGACCAGGATCCCAGTAAACTAGCAATAAGAACGGTTATTTTTTGGTGCATGGCGCACTTTGGCAAGGTATCCAAGTTCCCAGACCTTTCAAAATCCGCTAAGTAAGCAATATACCTTACCTACTTAATCAAAGGATGTAGAAGGTCTGAATAAAAAGCTCATATTTACTCATGATTCAACTTGCCTTCCTTAAGCAAGGGATTTGTAAAAGGTCTGAGTAAAAAGCCCGAAGTCCTGAACCCTGACTGGAACCCAAGGAACCCTGAACCCGAGACTCTCAGCTGCCATACGCCCTGAACTTCTGAACCGCAAGAGACTTCAGGCGGTTTGTGCTTAATGTAATGGCCTTAATAATTAGAGCAGGCTTTGGTGTCTGGCATAGTAGTATGCATAACATACCTGAATAGGGAGAACCACGGGAATAGTGGTACTGACTATTCAGACCCCTGGAAACGCCGCATCCCACCTCCTCCTCGACGACATCCTCTCAGTTGTCCCGGTTTGGGAGGGCTTTACCCTAAACCCTAAACCCTAAACCGTGGCTCTGTTGAAGGGCTTCATCGCAAGGGCTTGAGGGTTAGAAGCTAGAAGTTTACTGTGAGGATCTTGTCGGTTTAGGTTTTAAAGGTTTGGGATTTAGTTGCTTAGACTACCGGGGTTGGGGGGGGCTTTTTGCCATGAGATTTCGGGTTTTCGACTACAAGGATAGAAAGGTTTAGGCTTTTGGCTTATTGTTCATTGCGGGATTAGGATTTTGGCTTTGGGAAATCGAGCGACTGCATCTGTGTCGACCAGACTGGAAATGTGAGCATGTCTTCGTGAAGCATGCAAGGCCGCAAGTATGACCGGATGCACTGTCAACACGGCAAAATACGAAGTGGAGCACTCTAAACCCTCTACCCTCCACCCTAAACCCCTGAACCCTAAACCCTAAGCCCTAAGCCCTAAACCCAAAACCCTCTACCCTTAACTCCTGCCCTAAACCCTCGACCCTAAAACACTTCGGAACCTTTTACCCAAAATCCTTGGGGAAGCTCCGGGCTTAGGGTTTGGCACTCGAGGTTCCTAGTTTCAGGGGGTTTAGAGGGTTTAGGCTTTTGGGCTTGGGGCTGCAGGGGTTTAGGGTTTAGAGCTTCGGGGGTTTAATCTTCAGGTTCAAGATCCGGGTTCCAGAAATGTGGGAGTTTCCGAAAGTTTGGGTACCTTATTTAAAGTTAGGGGTACCTTATTTGGGGGCTCCTTATAATAAGGATCCTACTTTTTGGGCTGCTATATTAGGGTCCACTATTTTCTGAAACTCCCGTATTATGCGGCCCTAGACGCGACGCCCCCAAAGGTGCCTCGAGCATGTCCATCGGTGCCGCATCGAATTCCGAGGCACACACTCGCAGCTGGTCCTCGGACCTTGGCCAACAAAGCGAATTTGAGAAGTTAGGGTTAGGGGTTAGGGTTTTTTCTTGGGTTTAGGACTTAGGGGTTAGGGTTTAGGGAAATTTGTTAGTGGCTTAGGGTTTAGGGATCTTGTTTGGGGGGGGTTCCATTGGGCTTACAGGGAGTTTATGACGCATTCCGTTTGAATCCCAGTAAGGATATACATAGCCAGCACAAGTATCTATTCCTTATACTATCTTATACCTTCCAATGGTACACTAAACTCAAAGGTCTAAGGTTTAGGGATAGAGCTTGATAGAACTCTAGGATTTAGGCCTTGGCTTCAGGAGTGCAGGGCGAGAGGCTCTAATGTGGACCCGAAGGCCTCAATAAATCCTTAAGATCCCTGGCAGTATCCTTGTTTGGGTTTCAGCGCACCGTCCGTCACCACACTTCGAGCCCAATGAGTGACCGAGCCCTTGCCGCCAACACCGTGTCGGCGATAGCCAGGTCTAAGAGGCGTGCGTGGGTCACCCCGGCTGTGGTGTCCTTGTTCGCCTGGTTCTTGGAGGCGGCACACCCCTTCTCGCCGGCGAGCGTGTACCCGTCGAGCCCGAGTTCTTCGGCAACGAGTTAGCAATACCGCCCGAGCACCTTGTCCCCCGGTTTGCGGCAGTCACTTTGGCTCGTCGTTCCGCACGCTCGGGGGCGACCCGATCTGCATACTCCGCCGGCGACTCACCGTCTGCCCGAGCGGAGGTCGCCGCCGTGTCCTCCTCGACCTTGTGATCGCCAACGACCACCTGAATCACACGGGCCTCGAGCGTGCGGGCATTCAATTCCGAGAGGGCTTCGAACAACGCCTTCTTCTCATCGCGAGAGTCTGCACCCCCTAAACCCAGGGACCTAGGTCGCAGACCATGTTCAATTGGGCCAACCCACCGATGAGGGCGGATTCGAGCGCCCCGACGACATTACTGCTCCAGTGGCCCACAACAGGTTGAGACAGTCGAGGGTTCAAGGCCTTTCCCGAAGGCTCGTTGGATGCCATGGATACTGTTCCATAGAAGTCACAGCCCGCAGTTACAGCCTAGACTGAAGATGACGAAATATCTGCAAATCATTCTGTGTGGGCTTAATAACTTGAACCCTAGACCACCGACCCCAAATGCTAAACTGAGCTCTGAATCTTGCACACTATTACCCCTGAAGTTCGAACCCCAAATGCAGAACCTCAAACCCCAAAAGGCCCTAGCCGTTTCCCAGAGACTCCAATACCTTTGATTAAGGAATATTCTTTAACTTATGGTAGGATCCCTAATATGATTTAAGGACTATTCCTTATTCAGGGATATTGGGGTCTCTGGGTTAGGGACAGGATCCTGGGACATATTTGGTCGCGAGATTAGTTGTGTGTTTCTATAGGGCGCGAAACTTTGTGTTTCTATCCGCTGTCTTACTCCTACCCCAGCCATGGCAAGGCGCGTAATTTGTGATCACGCCCTAGCCTCAAACCCTAAACGCTGAAACCCTAAATACTCTAAACCCTTATCCCAAAACCCCTAAAACCCTGCTAAGCCGTAAACCTTGAAACCCCCAAAACAAACCATAACTCCGTTGAAGCCAAGCGGGCGCAGCTGGCTTCACCTGCACCACCAGGTGGCTTCCCTGGACCAGGCGCATCAGCTTGTTTGAACGGCTTTTGTAATTATATTCCAAATCTGCAAAGCCGCCACAAATATGTACATTGGTTTGATGGGGTATAAGGGTTCTATACAGGGTCTTTTGAAGTTTTGAAGGATGTTGCATGGATTTGTTCCTTGCACGAGCGAGGCTTTAGATTGTAGGGCTTCGGCGTGGCAAGGTCCAGGTTACGCAAGGGGTATGTGACGGGTTCCGCACGGTTGAGGGCTTAAGGGTCGAGAAGATCGTAATAACACACAGTAAGCATCTCACAGGAAGAATTGCCCCTCGCATTGTAGAAACCTGGGTGAGTACTACTGTTGATGCCCAAAATCCGGCATGACCAGCAACATCCTACATACTCCACATCGCGCTACCTACTTCCCCGCAGCCCCGTAATTTCAATGTTGCATCTCCGTGAGGTCATGCAGGATTCAGGGCATTCGCGCAAGCCCCTTTTTCTAGCCTGTCCGTCAGAGCAATATTGAAATTAAGGCTAGCAGGAAAGCCGTGGATATGTTCAAAGTCATGCAGGATTTTGGGCACCAACCGTAGCACTATCCCTTCTAGTTCCTTATTACATTTTTGTAGTATAATAGCCCACGCAACGTTATTGAAATCCCTGAGGTATTCCAGACGTAGGATCATTCTGTCGAGGCGGTCTTTTTGAGGCCTCTTGAGAGAGGCAGGAAGACTGACTTTGGCTTTAGAGTTGAGGGGCCTGCAGGGCTCATCCGGATTTTGTGATGACTTAGGTTTCGTGCTAACCCTAAAACCCTAAACCTCAACCCTAAAAAAGCCCTAAAAACCCTAAAAAAGCACTAAAAACCCTAAAAAAGCCCTAAAAACCATAAAAAAAGCACTAAAAACCCTAAAAAAGCACTAAAAACCCTAAAAAAGCCCTCAAAACCCTAAAAACCCTAAAAAAGCCCTAAAAACCCTAAAAAAGCCCTAAAAACCCTAAAAAAGCCCTAAAAAAGCCCTCAACCCCAAAGCCTCAGCCGCAGGGCTAAGGGTTTGTTACGGCTTAGGAGGTGCTCGGAGGCTCCAAGGGAGGAGCCCAAGGCCCTATACGGTAAGGTAGAAGCCAGAAAGTTGGAATATGATTATCCTAACCCTTCTATGGTAAATTACAGGGTATCCTACCATGAAACCATATTCCAACTTTCTGGAGTTCCCTGTATAGGGTTTACCTTAACCCTGAAAAACCTACCCTTTTTAGGGTTCCCTATGATGATTTCTGTATATAAGTCCTTGAAAAGGTAGGGTCTTCAGGGTTAAGGTAGGGTTTAGCGTATAGGGGTTTAGGGTTTAATGGGCCCAAGGCCCTAAGGGTTGGATGCTTTTGGGAGTATGTAAAAACTGGGTTTGGGATGGCCTAGGTATGGGTGAATAAGATCAGGACAATATCCAGAGCGACCCTCGCACAGTACCTATACATGATCAGACCATCAAATATTCCAAGACCCTATTCCAACTGTTCATGGCAACCTAAACACAAAACCCTATAAGAAAACCCTGACAGAAACCCTTGAAGGAATCTTTCAACTCAGCCGTGAAAGAGCCCGAAACTCTGAAAGGATGTTACAGTGCCCTGTAATGGAATCCTATCATAGAGCCCTGTAGTAATTAGTAAGCCTTGATGGGAACCCTATTCATGAACCCAAGAGTAACCCTGCAAGGAAACCGTATCATAGAATATTGCAGTAACCCTTACAGAGACGGGGCCCAGTTGTAAAGCCCTATAGTAGAAGCTAGGAAGTTAAAATACATCATTGTCCCCATTCCTTCAAGGTAAAGTATCAGGGATCCTAGCACTACTCCTCCTTGTAAAGCCATTCTCCAACTTCCTGGCTTCGACTATATAGTAACTCGTTAGAGGAATCCTTAAAGTAACCCTTTTAAACTCCTTGACTAGATCCCTTACAGGGGCCCTACGCTTGATGATATAAGTCCTGCATTACCCATAATAAGGAATATACCATAATTCCCATACTTCAGGGCCCTTAAGGTAATGCAGGATTTATATCATCCACCGTATTTAGTAACCCTTTAAAGATATCCCGAATCCTCGGCATTCCGCGAGCTGGGCCCGCGGCTACCGGCGATCCGGGTGCAGCCGGGGACAGCGCTCGCCTCCGTAAGGGGACGAAACGAAGGGTTGGTGGTTTAGGGTTTAGGTTTCATAGGGACGGTTTAGGGTTTAGGGGTTTAGGGTTTACGGTTTAGGTTTATGGTATGCTGTGATATGTTAAGTCACATTCCAGTACTATATGTTCTATTCGGTTCTAGTATGTGGGCTTACTTCGGCTTTAGGGCTCAGGGCCCGGATTCAAGCAGCAGCAGCAGCAGAAGCAGCAGCAGCAGCAGCAGCAGGAGGAGTAGCAGTCGCAGTAGCAGTAGCAGTAGCAGTAGCAGTAGTAGTAGTAGTAGTAGTAGTAGTAGTAGTAGTAGTAGTAGTAGTAGTAGTAGTAGTAGTAGTAGTAGTAGTAGTAGTAGTACCGGTTTTGGCCAGTGGTGGTGGTTGTTCTAATAGTAGCAGCAGTAGCAGTAGCAGTGGGAGTAGGAGCAGAGCAGTCGGAGTCGGAGTAGGAGTAACAGTCGCAGTGGCCGTAGCCGTGGCCGCAGCCGCAGCAGGAACAGCAGCAATGCTAACGGCAACCACAGTAATGCTATCAACAGTTCTCAGGAACTCCACAAAAGCACACCAACTACTGGTAAAAATGCTTCGCTGCAGACTAACTGCTAGTATATAGCAACCATGATGGCAAGAGTGTCACTGCCCTTTCAGAAAATTGTGCCTCCTCATCGGTGGCACTGGGGGCGGCAAAGTCCTGGGCTTCTGTGGTGGCATGGTCCGAGATCACAAAACCAGAGCTCCCGGTGGTTCGGTGGCAGGTTGTCAGCAGTGTAAGTCAAACCCTAAGGGTCCAAGTACCATACAATCATACACTCTCCCCCAAGTACTACTAAACTATACACCCACGACCCTAAACCCAAGTGCTTAATTATTAGGTCCTTTGGGCCCTTTGCGACAGGTTTTAGGAATTAGAGTATATAAGGGCTTTGGGGTAGAGTTTAATACACAATTAGAACCATTAGGTCCTGTGGACCCTAGAGCGAAGATGAGGATCAACCGACTTCGTTTCCCAAGAGAGCATTCGGGGAGCCGTGTTAATGCTCACCTCGGATCCTTCCGCTGTGCCAGTCCACGAACTGAAAATGTAATGTAGGGGCCTTAATGGTTAGAATACGGTTCTGGGGCCCAGTATACGGTAGGTATAATAAGGAACCCCCAAACTAGTATAGGTAAATATGCAGGCCCCTGTATCACAGAACCCTACTATGGATGCTTTATAGACCCCTTTAAGGAACCCTTTAAAGGGAACCCCCAAATAGTAGAGGTAATTATTAAGGCCTGTGAAATGTAGCCCTAAACCGAAGTTTTCGAGGGTTGGGGTCTCTGAGAGTCCGAGAGGCATTCCCCTCTTCGGAGATGGGGGCGGCCTTGCCGGAGGTGTGGGCAACGAAGGCCGCCTGGTTCAGAACAGGCAGCTCAAAAGTTCTACGGTCGATGATACAAACCCTGCATTACCTTAAGGAGCCTAAACTAAGGGAATTATGGCATATTCGCTATGATGAGTAAGGCAGGATTTCGATCATCAACCGTAAGGCTTCTATCGAGCGAAACTTTGCAAAGGCTTCCCGTTCCATACATCAAGGATCTGCGACCATGACTAGAGTAGTACATGCGCTTGTGTGGGTTGGTTGAAGGTGTGCTGTCGTTCTTGCTGCGCAAGATTTGGTGATTTGGTGTATACTATCCGATATCCATACTCGCGTCCTTGTCAGTCTCGCAGCTGCCTTTGAAACCTTAAGCCCCTTAACCCGAACCCCTCCAAGAAAACTGTACACCTCTCAAAAAGCCATGAAGCCAAAAAGCACCCAATACCTTTCCAACTCAAAGTCGCTAAACCACTCACTCTTACGGAAGTTCGGTCGCTACTCTGCTTAGGGTTTAGGGTTTAGGGGTTTAGGGTCCTAACTCTTTAACCACCCCAACAACCAACGAGGAAGCCAGGCCTACTCAGTCAACCTTTAAACCCTGAACGCTTTAAACTCCCAACACCAAAAGCAACCAAGGAATGCAAACCTTCGCCCCAAAAAGATGAGCACTCATGGTAGCTCCGCTTTAGTATCCCTCTACAGGAGCCCTGAAAGGAAACCTTCAAGGATCCCCAAACCCTAAACCCCTAAACCCTAAAGCCCTAAACCCCCCAACCCTAAATGGAAGCCTTCAAGGATCCCTTTAAAGGAACCCTGTTTCGAATCGTTGAGGCCTCTCCAAGGAGTCGCTTGACCCGCTCCTGGGGAGGGCATCCATTGCTTGGGTGGAGCGGGTTCAGGGTTTGGGGTTTCCTTTAAGGGTTCCTTTAAGGGATCTATAAGGGTTACTACAAGGGGTTCTTCGGGTTACTTTAAGGGTTTCTAGGGTTTAGGGCTTCGGGTTCAGGGTCTAGGGTTTAGGGCCTATAGGGCTTAGGCGTTTAGGGGGTTTCAGGAGTTAGGCTAGGCGTTTTGGTTGGTTTCGGGCTTTTTGTATCGAGTTTTGGGGGTTTGGGTAGTTTTGGGTCTCCATGGGTTCGGGTGCGTTTTTGTGAGCGCCCGAAATGGGGGGTGCATTGGAGGTTGAGCGTTGCAGTCTTAAGGCCCTGGGTTTACCGCTTGGCCTTTTAGGTGTGTGCATCGACATGCAGCAGGAACTTAGCCGTTTTGCACGGTCGCTTGTTGGGGCATGACTATATTCATGCATATATATATATATATATACACACACGTGCAATCAAATACATATACGTATATACACTTGTGTGCGTGTGTGCAGATGCAATTGTGCAACGTGCAGGCTGTGATTGTAAAAACATCTACGAATGGTACATATGCAAGTGCATGCGAATGATGCTGCTCCAAAGACCAAAACCATCAGAATAAAGTATGATACCAAACTTTCATTACGCAGCCGCCTAAAGGAAAAGTGTTGGCAACCAGTCAAGCCCCTTCGACTTGTAGATTGGCAGGACTTCAGGCCAAACCCCAAAAGCTTCCATGACTTGCGAACTTTCGGATGGGCATGAGTTACTTTGAAAGGGGGATGAACTTAGCAGAATCCTGAAGCGCTTTGATTGTCGTGGTGAGTTCTCCAAAGTACCGTCCCTGTCTGGATCCTAGAAATAGCACGTATAGACAAGCAACCTTAAAGGGACCCTGATCTAGAGAACCACTACCGAGATGTTCTCATACCTCGAAACGTCGTTTCTCGCCGGGGCTCTTTCGGAACTCCACGGCGCCAGGAAGTGACGGCGGTGGCACCAGTGGGATGTCCACGCCGCCTGCAGTTCACACAGGCTGCCATGGGAATCAGGTTTAGGAGGGCCGTAGGTTCTGCGAGAACCGAACCTTCCCAGGACGAGGATTTAGACTTTGTCGTCCCGCGATCAAAGCAAAAAAGAGGACGCCGACGATGACAGTCATGACCGCATTTGTAGTGATGAGTAACAGACCGGGTATCGGACATTCTCATATGTCTATAACAGAAAAAGGAGCCTTCAAGAACATATCCTCATTCTCCAGGCTTCTATACTACCGTCAGCGCTGGGTTCCGAGGCGTAAACTCCTCTCCCGGCTCAGGGGTTTACAGGTATCTGGGAGTTTCCGAAAATCAGGGGTACCTTAGGGCTCCCTTAAAGGGCTGCTATAAGGGTACAAAAGGGGTTCCTTTAAGGGGCACTAGGGGTTTAGGGTTTTGGCTGGCGGAAACCGGAACCAAAAGAGGCCTCAAGAATTGGACTAAGGGCTTTGGGGGAAGGTACACTATACATAAATGGGGGTTTCCCAAAATAGGGGACCCCAATATACTACCCGAAATAGTAGGATCCCTATTATAAGGACCCCAGAACAAGGTACCCCTAACTTTCGGAAACTCTAAACCCTTAAAGAGCCCTTTAAAGGAACCCTTATAGTAACCCTTTAAAGGAACCCTAAGGTACCCCTAATTTTCGGAAACCCCCAACTCGGGGCACTATGGGGAAGCACTGAGTATTCAGGCCCCTGGGACCACTCTCAACCCCTAAACTTATGAATTGAATGTCAGGCCTCTATGTTCGACTTCTTTGAACCCCAACTGAAGTATATATATATATATATATATACATACACACAAATGTATTTATATCCATAAGTATACCTACTTTGTATGTATCTCTTCATACACACGCTGAGGAACACCAAAGTGGGCCCCAGAGACGGCCCTCCGAATTCCCCTGCCGCCCGCGCGCCTGACTTCGGCCGGCTCTGCTCCCACCTGGAGCAAAAGGGAAGGTTGATATAGGGGCCTTAAGAAAAAAGATAGGGGTTGGTGATGTATTATGCTATAATTATAACAAGGGTAGGGAGGCCTTAATAATTAGAAGAGGGTTCCTTTCAAAGGGTTCCTTAAAAGGGATTTGTAGGGGTTACTGTGAGGGCTCTATGATAGGGAAGGTTACCAAAGGAGCCCAGTGCCACTTACATGGCTCTTGGGTTACCTTCAAGCAGGTAAATCACTTTGAAGGGAACCCGGTTTAGGGGGTTTAAATATAGGGTTTACCTGTAGCCGAAAAGACCTACCTTTTTAAGGAACTATATATGGAAAGCATAGTAAGGACGCCCAAAAAAAGTAGGTCTTTTCGGCTGCAGGTAGGGCTTAGGATGGCTGCTTGAAGCGATCCTCCTCTGAAGACCCTAAACCCTACACCCTAAAACCCTAAAACCCTAAAAACCCTAAAACCCTAAAAACCCTAAAACCCTAAACTCTAAACCCCTAAAACACTAAAACCCTAAACCCCAAAACCCTGAAAACCCTAAACCCTAAAACCCTAAACCCTAGGAGTCCTGCAGGGCCCCTGACAAGGGACCCTAGGAGCCCTTGAGGGTTTTGGGGCTTGGGCACTAGCAAGGGTCCTTTCAGGTGGTTGTTTAAGGTTTAGGGTTTAGGGTTTAGGGAGGCATTCCCAGGGTTAGATGATGCAAGGGTTTTTGGTAGACAGGGCTACTGCTGTTAAGGGTCGCCTGTCAGTGTTAACATGTTGAAAGCTAATAATAGGGTTTACTACCGAGGGTTGCTGTTCAGGATTTGAGGCTTTAGGGCTTCAGGGCTTTAGAGTTTAGGAGCTTAGGGATTTAAGGGTTGAGGGAATGTAGGGTTCAGGGATTGATTTAGGGCTTGGGGTTTAAAACTGAAACGAAGTTTAGGGTACATTGGTTGCATACCGGCTAAGCAGAACGACACAGCAGCAAAGTACCACCAATGTTGACATGCCAGGTCTCCCTGCCTCTCCTCTTCCTCCTTTCTCTCGTTTCTCTCCTTTCTCTCCCTCTCTATCTCTGCCTCTCTCTCTCTCTCTCTCTCTTTCTCCTCTCCTTCTCCTCTCGTTCTCCTCTATTTCTCTCTCTCCCCCTCGCTCTCTCTCTCTCTCTCTCTCTCTCTTTCTCCACTCCTTCTCCTCTCTTTCTCCTCTCTTTCTCTCTGTCTCTCTCTCTCTCTCTCGCTCTCTCCTCCGTCTTGGCATGCCAGTCGCTTCTGGCCGGTCAGAACGGACGTGGTGATGCTTTTAGCGTTTGGGGTTTAGGGGTTTAGGCGCTAAAGGTTTAAGTTCTAAGGGTATAGGATTTGTTTCTGCGGCTACATCTGAGTTCAGGGGGCAGTCGTTTCCGCGCAAGTCAAGGTCAACCCCGTACAACCGACTTTTATGTAGGGGCCTTCATGATTACAGTAGGGTTTTGGGAGCTCCTTATTATAGGTATAGTTTAATATCCCCTAAGACCCTGTTCTAATTAGAAAGGTCCCTACATTAGGCCTCTAACCTCAACCGTCGCTCCAATCTTCAACCCCGATGGCCTCTCTGCCCAATTCCAGAAGCTGGTGTCGAAGTCGTCCTGCTAGGCATCACTGCTGCCAGTTTTGCATGCTCATAACATTGAGAATGACACATTAAGCTAAGCTTATGCCATAGTAGGATTTTGATGTCAATGTGTGCATATCTGGCTCAATACAAACATGCGTGAGGTTCTTTTGTTGTGCAGATTTCGGTGGTAACCCCAGATGTGTATTCCTTCTTAAGAGTATATTGTACTGGAAGTAATGTGGGGCCTGAATCATTACCAGTAGTATTGTTCAGAGTTTCTTCGTATGACTTTACTATGGTATACACCGTAAGCATCCATAAACCCTAAACCCTAACCATAAAGACTATCCCTATGCTAAAACGGAAACTGTTTCTGTTCGAAAGGCTTCGATTTGCATTTCCGGACTTGCTACTAAGTCTCTACTACCGCTTCGCCACCTACGACACTTCGGCAAACACACCCTGAAGCCAGCACCTTGAACACCAACTCCCCAACCCGAAAAAGTATGCAAGCCAACAGGCCACCACTCTGCAACCCCAAACCCTAGACCCTTGTAGTAACATGTAGAGACGCCCTTACAGCTCCCTTATACAACCCTTAGAGGACCTTTACAGCCGTTACAGAGACCCTTGTAGAACCCCTATAAAGTAAACCCAAACCCTAAATCCTTAACCCTGAACCCCCTATAGTACCCTTATAGTAGCAGTTGTAAGAACCCCTAGCGGAACCCTAAACCCTAAACCCCAAGCCCCCGTAGTTCGAGCAATACTGAAGGTCCTGCTTCGGCAACTCGAGGATAGAAGGCCTAGGCTTGGAGTCTTGCGCAAGAGTTATAAGGGTTTTAAGGGGTTTTCAGGGCTTTGGGTATTGAGGGTTTTAGGGTTTTTTTGGGATTTATATAGGGAACTCCAGAAAGTTGGAATATGGTTTCATATTCCAACTTTCTGGCTTTTACTTTAGGGGTTTCAGGGTTCAAGGGTTCAGGGGTCTGGGATTTAGGGTTTAGGTTTGGGGCTTTTAAGGGCTTCAGGGCCCGGGATCGAAAAGAGTGCCCTATAAGGACTCCTTTAAAGGGATCTCTAAGGGTTCTATAAGAGGGTTCAGGGTGTTTGTGCTTTAGAGTTTTAGGGTTTGGAGTTGTAAGTCTTGAGATTGAAGGTTTTGGGCTTTGAGTGCAGGGTTTCGGAACGTTTGCAGTGATGCCCTTCTACGGGAATCGAAAAAGCTTCGCATGATGGCGGGGACGATGATGACCATGGTTAACTCATTATGATGATGGTGATGCTGGCCGCCAAGATGCTGGTAGTAGCGATAATGGCGATGGCGAAAGTCTAGGATACCCAGTAACCTAGGAATAAAAAGGCCTCTCTTTTTGGTATTGGGTAACTTTACAAGGAACCTAGGACTACAAAAAGGGAATAAGGGTACTACTGGGCATCCTAGAAGTAGAGTAACGAGGATGAAGATGATGAGGGGTGGTGACTGTGCTAGCGACGGCTGTCGTGATGAAGACGGTCTGGCTGGCAGCACAAATCGTATGCATGCTTACAAGGGCCACTACTACGCATGAAGACCTCTCCTCAATGAGGCCTGCAGAAGGTTGCGTTTATCTCGCGAAGTTTCTTGATGCCAGCCGATGAAGGTGCCAACACCCATCCTCGGAACAGAGTCGCTGAGGGCGGAACAAAGGCAATGGTAGAGGAGGCGCCTGAACAGATTCTGCAGTCTATGGCAACGGTCAAAGCGCAAACTCGAAAATGTGGTTCGTCTTCCACTGTCAAAACCTCTCCAAAACCTCTACGAGTCTGCGAGTCCACTATCATGATCTCCAAGTGGAGCCGAACTTGGAACCCTAAACCCTACACGAGCGCGCTAACGGTTTTACGTTTTACGGTTCTGGTTAGGGTGTAGCTTAGGGTTTCAATAGGGTTTAGGGTGTAGGGTTTGTGTTTATGGTTTTAGGGTTTAGGGTCTAGGTTTGAGCCCGGAATTTGGGGGAAACGTGTGTTCAACCCGCTGGGGTCGTTGGGCAAACTCAGGGGCCACTTCTTCACTGCCCGGAAGAGCACGAAATAAGATAGGTGGCCCATACTTATGACCCGACATGTTGCCAGCTCACTACCCCCCCCGTAACACTCAAAACACAAAGTGCTCGGGACACTGATGTTCAAAACCATTACATACATATGCATGTACGTTTTTATGTACGTGTACATGTATGTATGCATGTATGTATATGTATGCATGTACTTTTTATGTAGTTAACGTGTTTAGAAAGTCGACTCCCTGCAAGAAGCAATCCAAGCCAATGGTGTAGGTATCAACGTGCAGAAATTTGAAGTAGGGCCTCTTTTTATAGAGCATTGATGAGCGTATGCAGTGCTGGAATGTGTGCATGTGTGTGTGTGTGTGTGTGTGTGTGTGTGGAGATGGGGCCTCCTTGCTGCAGGAAAACCCTAGCAAACAAAAACCTTCAGATCCACACATAATAACTCTAAGTCCTATCGTCTACCAAATGTCTGCTGTAAAACCTTGCTGAACCCGTACAGACCACTTGTAGAACCCGTATCGCAACCCCATCGTCACTATTGAGGCCCCGATTCCCAAACCCCTATAGAACCCTTATCAGACCTTGATAAAACTAGATAAACCTTATGAAGACCTGATAAAACCGTCATAACCCTCCTGCACCTCCTCCTTGACCTCTGGCTCGGGTACCGTCTTTTCCTTGGCTCCCGGCAGTTAGTGGGATCCGGGACTACGGCTTACAGGTTCGTTTTTTAACTGGCATCCAAACTATAAGTTTCCAGGAGGCCATGACTTGTGCTCAGGGTTTAGGGTTTTGGGCTTAGGATTCAGAGCCCTCGGAAGCTCAAGGTTGTTTAGGAACATGGTCAAGCCTTCAAGCGACACTGGCAATAGTATGACAGTATCAAGTCGAACCATTATGCGAGGAAGGAGCCGCATGGAGAAGAACAGCATGAGTAAGAAGAGCAATGATGAAGACCCCGATTATACCCCATCACCACGTCATCTGTTCTAGCACAAGAAGTCTCAGCAGGCAGCTAGGCCCAGCAAGAAACGTAGACCGATAGATAGTACCTTCAGCGGCAATCCGAAACCTTCAACGCTGACCTAGCAAACCCTCTGTTCTCTATGCGGGCTCCTCCAGGTGTTCCACAGTCAGGTATAGCTCTGGGGAGGTGTGTAATTTCTGAAATGTCTCTACCGTCGTATGCAAACAGTTCTACACATACGTGTATTTATACACATATATAAATATATACATATGTGTATAAACAGATGAAAATAGATACACACGCACTAACTACAGGTCCTTCTGCGTTTGCTCTCGTTGGGGTCTCTGCTGTTTCGGTGTAATGTTTCTGGTGTTTAAGAGCGTCGAATTTAAGGTCTTATATCAGGTTATGCGGTTTGGAGGTTCAGGGCGTGGGTCTACATTCTGGCTCGTTGCTCCTATTTCGTCTTTCGAACTCGAAAGCCTAGGGTACTCATAAGCATAAAAGGTTACGAAATGGGATAGCAATAGTTCTGAGCACTTATATCAGCCTGTGTTCAACTGCCAATGAGAACATGACCGGAAGACACAAACATTACAACTGGAATAGGATTTGGGGCTGCGTGTGCCATAACTGTCGCACAAGCACGAGTTTAGTCCCAACGTCCAAATTTTGGACAGGCAAAGAAACTGAAGTCCAAATCTTGAGGAAAATCTGTTGGAAGCCAACGAAGGTGCTGGTATGGGTGAGTGAATTTTTCCTGCTTGGATCTCCTACTGGCAGCCCATTGCTGTAGCCTTTCTTGCCCTCCTCTAAACCCTAAACCCTTTAAACCCCTAAACCCTAAACCCCTAAACCCTATAAACCTAAACCCTATAAACCCTATAAGCCCTAAACCCTATAAACCTAAACCCTATAAACCCTATAAGCCCTAAACCCTATAAACCCCTATAAACCCTATAAACCCTATAAACCCTATAAACCCAGGGCCACGTCAGTAAAGCGTCCGTCGTGCGGCGTGCGCAGAGGATGCCGCAGACCGTCACGAGGCAGCATAAAGCCAGAGCTGACCCAAGCCTGGAGAATCTAAGACTAGCCATACGGTTGATGATATGAATCCTGCATTACCTTAATGGCCCTAGACTATGGGAATTATGGTCTATTCCTTGTTATGGGTATTGCAGGATTTATATCGCCTGGAGAATCTCTTAGTTGCTGAGTTCATAGCTACTAAGATCTGGGACTACCCATAGGCCCCATAGCAGCTCCTTTTTGGGATTACCTTGTAGGATTCTATCTATATCTATATCTATATCTATATCTATATCTATATCTATATATATATATATATATATGAACCCCAGAAAGGAACTGCTATGGAGCCTCTGGGACTAAGGGTCCTTCGATTGCCTTACGGGGCTACGGATGGGGCGAGGAACAAATCACGGGTTCTAGAATCCGGCGGCCTTCTCGGATGCACGATTTACTCTCTGGCGCAGCCTGAACATCCCCGAAACCAAGAGAATGGGACGACGACGCAGCGACTGAGGTCTTCCTCTTGGGCATTCAACCCATCACCGGCAACATCGCCTGGCTTCTTTGTGTCGCTAAACCCCAGCTGTGCCTCCCTGGTTGTGCCTCGCGATCTCGCCTAATCCGCTTCCGCGATCGGTGTGAAGGGCGCTTTTTTAGTCTGCTGCTGCCCAGAGACTCCAATATTCCATAATTAAGGAAGATACCTTAAACCATATTAGGGATCCTACTACAATTCAAGGTATATACCTTAATTAAGGGATAGTGGAGTCCCTGCTGCTCTGAGACGAGCCTCAAAGATCTCCTCGGAGGAGCGCAATACATAGGAGCCTTACCAATTAGTAGTAAGAAACCTTGGGCCTTTATTGGGGTTCCTTTAAAAAGGTCTATAAGGGGTACTATAATGGATCTATAAGGGTACTATAATAATGTAGGAACCTGATTAAGAAACCCTGGGCCTTTATTAGGGTGTCTGATATGAATCCTAATTTTTTGGGGTTGTAGGCCAGTGGTTTCTTAATCAGGTTCCTACATTAGACTAGGGTTCATTTAAGGATTCCTTCAACGGGATCTATGACGGGGTTCCGTAGTATAGTTAGGCTAGGGTTTTGGGGCAGTCTCAGTTTTACGATTTTAATAAGCAAGCCCCAAATAGATCAAAATAGTACAGGTACTTATTAAGGCCCCTATATTAGGATTGTTCTTGTGCGCTTTGTTCTCACTCAGCAGGGTCATGGGCTCATACGCAGCCTCCAGCTTTGACGAGCGGAGTGGCTGCACTCCGTCATCCGGGAATGCATCCAGCTCATCTTCGTCCGCTGACTCCGGCTCATGAGTTTGGATCATGAGCCGGAGTCAGAGGACGAACATGAATTTTGAGGTCTTCAACCTAATGTAGGGGCCTTAATATAAAGAGTAAGGGTTTTGGGCAATACGGAAACCCCCAACACAGTATTGCTAACTATTTAGGTAGGCCCCTACAGTACACATATCCATAGACCTATAAGTCCAAATCCTACAAGCCGCGACCCTGAACCCTAACTTAGGGTCCTTTTAACGGGTTCCTTTCAGGATTACTATAAGGGATCCAAAAGGGTACTATGAAGGAGTTTCCGAACATAGAGGACCCTAATGTAGTACCCTACTAGGCAGTAGGATCCTCATTACAAAGGACCCCAAAATAAGGTACCCCTAACTTTCGGAAACTCCCAACATGTTCTTAAGCCCTCAGCCAATGAGTCACGAGTGCTTAACACTACGACCATCGAGATCAACCTCAAGGCCTGCCTGAGGTTTATTTGGCGTACCCCAAAGGTTTTCTGGACTAGCACCAAACATTGAAACGCTTCAAGATACCCTTGTAGAAACCTTCAGAGTAACTGCTTATTCCAAAGGCTCGGAGCCTTTACCCACGAGTACTTTGGGACCCGACAATACGCTCTGTTCAGGAACCGTGTCGGGTTTCGGGAAAGTGGTTTGGGCTTCAGGGTTGAGGATCTCGGGTCAATTGGGAGTTTCCCTCAATAGGGGACCCTAATTAGTACCCCAAATAGTAGGATCCTCCTTATTAGGACCCCAAAATCAGGTACCCCCACTTTTCGGAAACTCCCAATTGGTTCACCGGGTTTTAGGGGCTTGTGGGTTTGGGTTTGGGATTGCGGGCTTGTGAGTTTGGGCAGTCTTGCGTAACGCCGCTTTGTTTTCTCGTGCGGGTCAGCAGCTTTGCCTGGCGGTCATTGCTTAAGATGCATACTGGGCTCTCCGGGCAAGTCTGAACACCCTGAAACAATCAATAAGCCACTGATCTCGAACTTCGGAAATACAAAAACCCAACACGCAACATATCATCAGGGTCCTTGCTTCGCACCCTGCCCCTGCACCTGAACACTGCGAAAGGCTTAAGCCCTAAACTCTAGTCTACACGAACTCTATAAAGCTTATAACCACTACTGCGTGGGGATTTGATCCTGGTAATACTCTGTATCGCTCACCCCACAAAGAGCTGTATTGACTGTTGGCGTGGTTGCCTTCTACAAGCTGGATCACCGTTACTTCCACTTCCACACACGCACTCCTATGCAGGCAGATCCAACGTTCGCTCCTTTTGCACACTCACGGCCGGCGGTGGATCGTCTGTGCACGGGATAGCTCTGTCTACTCGAAGGATCACAAAGATTATAGCACTTTAGCTATGGGCAATGCTTTCTAGAGCTTGTGCTCATTCTTGAGCCTTGAGCCAAACGTTGCATGGGCGGTCACACTGAAAGGATGGATAGGCATTGCGGTGTGCGTAGCACTACCACAAGCCTACTCCTAGAGACGAGGGACGCGTAGCGTGCCCCCTTCCCTTGCACTTTACATGGTCTTGCTCACAGCTCTTATAGTGACACCTTGGAACTTGACAAGGCATCGCAGTCCGTTCGCACCCCCCATGAGTTGCGTCTCCGACGCTGCTCACCCGGAAGATGGCACGATAGGAATGTCAGAAAATTTGTTCCGCCGCAACGTTGATATAGATCAGAGCTTTTGCATCCCAATTAGAAACGTTGTGACACTCATCTACGTCGGTAACGATCCCCTGAAATGGCAAACGAATCAGGCGTCACCGAAGAAAGAGGCATTCGCGATGGAATTCCACGTGCGAAGCACAGAGGTCACAATCTTGAAGATGAGGTAGATCATGTGTTGTCTCACCGCCATCTCCGTGTTGACGTAGTATCGCGGTCCCAGGGCCGGAGGTTCTCCTCTGGATACTGGTTCCTTTGCTTTCCTTTGTCCTTGCCTTTGTTTCGGCCTTTGCCGGCGATGTAGTCGTGGTAGGAATTGGCGTTCCAGCCTCCATGTTGCTCATCTCCGGTTCTCTCACGCCCTTTTGAAGGTCCCTTTGCCGAAGAAGCGCTTGCACGTTCCTCCGTGGTGACGGGCGTGTCCATGATGGAAGTACCACCCGGAGGGAGATACTCTTCGGCCGAGATGTGATGTAATGCTTCAGGACGTCGAGTATTCGGATTTTGCTGTCTTTCAACTCTAGACTTGACCAATCTGTCCATGAAGTGCGCTGGCATTTGCACGTTGTGGTCTACCAGCAATCCAACGGTCTGGACGGAATAATCTGCATGAGTCAAGAGGATGCCGACCGGGTCGATGTACAGAAAGTCCACTGGTCCAGTTGGCGTGTTTCGTAGTACCGAAAACTGTTGATGTCCTGTCACCATCGGGATAACTTCACATAAGACGTTGAGGCAACAAAAGTGCATTGCTTTCACGTCTTCATCCTTGTTGCTCTTCAAGTACGTGGTTGGATTGAAGTTATCTCTGCCGATTCCCATCATGTTGGCTCCCCGTGTCAATAGCGAAAGCATCTGGTTCGTCCGGAAGCGCTTCAAAGTGTAAGTCCCGTTGGGATCATACGACTTGAGGTTCTCAGGCTCCTTCGCGAAGCGAATGATCTCCTCGTCAGTCACGTCCCTGCTCACACCTGTTTCTTTGTCCACTCCAGCCAAAGTTCCCCACTTTCCGAGCACATCATAGCGTTGGCCAAGTGCGAAATTCTCTCTCATCTGAAACAATGGCATAGTCGCCCACTTCGCGAATCCTGACCAAGCTTTGTAGATGGTTCTGCACACGACGAACGCCATATACGAAAGAGCGGCCATGTTGGCGTCGATGCAATGGGCGTTCCGTTTGCCGTGGTGGTAGGGCGGCTGCATGGCAGTGCGGGCGATTTGCAGTTCAGGGTCGATGTTCAGAGACTGACCGGCGATGAGGACGGGACGTCGTTCCTGTGCCACTGCATCTGGTACTTGGTCGTCAAAGTCCTCTCCCGGTTCCGTGTCCATTTCTTCATCAGGTTCCTGTTCTGGATCGTCATCACCAGCAACGGACGGTTCTGGAATTGCTTCGGGTTCCGCAACCGATTCCGCTTCCATGGCTTCCTGTTCCTCGACGGTTGCTTCAGGTACTGCTGCTGCCGCAGCCTCCATCGTCTGAGCAATGAAGTCACTTGGGATCTCCGTAGGAGTATCCCGTTGTGGAGTACCTTGGTAGTATCCGCAAGAAACGAATTGTGACCAGCAGGATGTGCATCGAGAAAAGCATGCTGGAACAATGTTGTAGCACGCTGGGCATACCCTCATTCTCCTGCCATCCTCATCTCTTCGTAGATCTTCGGGTCGCCAGTTCTTGATGACAAACTTGATGCCCTTGTCCATGTAGTGATGTCGAACTGTGTTCTCCCTGTGGGCCTCCAAAACAGTGATAAGGTCTCGCATTATCTGATCCTTGCTTGTGTCATGGGGTCCAGGAGGCATCTCGCAGAGCAATTCCATGATCTTGCTCGGCGTTCGATATCTCTCGAATTCAGGAAGCAATGGAGATCCATTGTAGTCCAACACCATCTCTTTCTCCAATCGTTCATCATAGATCTTTTCCACCAGAGCGAACGAATGTGTATCCTGAGGATTCGGGACGCAAAACCATACCTCCTTCACGAACTGGAACGGTATCGTTCGACCAAGGATGATGACACCGCTGTCAGTGATACG